GCACTCACAATAGAAACCCACTTGTCTCCACTGTCTGTAAAAAGGCAGGAGGGGATTTTTATCCAGCACAACTGAGAACACAGAGATGTCCAGGTCCTGCTGTGTGATAAGACCATCCAAAATAACCGAGATACAGTAAGTATTCTGCCCATACCACCACTTTGCTCATACTATAGAAGTAGTTGGCTCAAGCACTTCAAACTGAGATGACACCAACAATAAAATTAGAAAGCAATCATTGTTTTCCAAACACTCATTTTGCACCGAGGCCACCTCCAGTTCCCTGAGAAAAGCACAAATACCAAGTGGCTGCACAGCAAATTAGATGAGAAAAGTTATTCAGGTAAATATAGATGAGCCAAGTAAGTTTTTGTGGGTTTTTTTTTGGTTGGTGGTGGTGGTGGTTTTTTGTTTGTTTGTTTTTGTTTGGGTTTTTTGTTTGGTTGGTTTTTTGGGCATTTTTCTTTGTTTTATTTGTTTATTTGTCTCAGTGTTTTGTTTTGGTTTTTGTTTGTTTGAGGGGGTTGTTTGGATTTTTGGAGATTTTTTTGAGCCCCAACCAGTCCCCTGATTAATGACACAAAGGAACAGGCCAATCCAAGAAGCATCTGGACTGTTTCTTTCTTTGACAGTGCCAATTTGAAATGTTCAGGGAACTGTGGCTTCCCTGACCCTTCAGACGCTTATAAACAAACCCAAATGAAATAAATATTAATAGGACAATACTCCCCCACATTCTTGCTCCTCCTGTTCTTCACACCTTACTGCTGGTTCCACACCTCTACAAAGTTAAGCCAAACCAAGTTCTGATGCAGCACATTGAACTGGATCAAGGAAAAAAACCAACTAAAAAATTAGAATTTTCTTCTACTAAATTAATTTCCCCACAGGAAGCTGTGACTAAGGACTGTTTAGTCCAGAATATTCTCATGAAGAGCTCTATCATTGAGCCACGACAATACATATCTACCCTATTTTCTAAGGTTTTTGTCAAATTCCCTTTAGTACATTTGAAACCTTACAGGTTTCGGTTTTATTCGGAAGTGGTTATTTCACCACACATAATAATGACTTCAGGTTGTTGCCGTATGCCTCCTCGTGATGGCTTTTATTAGTTCAAGTCCAATTCTACATCAGGCACTGCCTCTCTGGCCTTTGCAAAGCAGCTACCAAGACCAGCACCAGCCCATCAAGCTTCTATCAGCTGGCACCACAAGGGCAGCTCTTCCACACTTGGATTTGTAAGGCAAATCAGAATGAAGTTGTGGGGGTCCCCATAGATCGTCTCTTCAGAGTAGGAACACCACAAATTCATTAATTCTTGCAGCTTGCTTAATGTCTGCGACATGTTCATTTAATGAAAATAGTTTGTGTGCATATTTTACCCTGCAGGCAAACCCACAAAGAGCAATCAAAAAGTTCAGAAGACGTTACAACCACAAGCATTTCTTCAGAAAGTACCAGTGAAAATTTATTTCAGATAAATATATTGCTGTGTTCACACGGAAAAATGAAGGTAAAAAGGGTTTTTGGTACCCATTTATTTTGGATTCCTTTCATCATATACATCTACTGCCCGGTTTCCAGAGATCTCAGGCCCTTTCAAGTGCACTTGTAATCATAGGCTTTCAGATCTTATTAATTCATCCACATCACCCAAAATTAGAGGGCAGAGTTTCAGGTCTTGATCAGTTGTGGTGGGGCTGTGGCACAGCAAAGGCAACACATGCTGCTCAGCTTGGTCTGACATTATCTAGTCCAAACCAGTCCTTGCTTTCTGTGCTCACGCAGCTGCCTGGAATCTTTGCTGGCAATGAACACCGAGACTGTAAGACAAATATGGCTGAAACTGAAAACACCTCTACTACGTAAACAGTCAGGAAAGAAGAAATCCATTGCATTACCAGTTTCCAAACGCAGACCTTGAAGAAAATGCCAGCCAGTGGATGGTTAAGTTTCAGCATATTGGGCCAGATTCCAAAACCCTCAAGCCAGTTAGTAATTAACAGACATCTAGGTCCTCCACATGAAAGAAGTCTATTGTTAAAACAGTGACACAAACTTTTCCTTTCCTTTTCCTAGCCAGTCTCTGCCTGTGCTTTAAGATTCTCTTAGGACTAAACAGCCTATGATTTTAGAACCTCCACTTCTCAAACAGACAATTTGTTAGATTTTTAGTTGCCAAGAATGCAAACATGCTTACACCAGAGGTAGAACAAAATTAATTTACAGGCTTCTCAGAAACCCATAATCTCCCCTTTCTTTCATTTAATACCTTGAAAAAAATAATATCCAAAAAACCTTCTACCATATCTACAACAGCAAATGAATTACAAAACATAGTAACAAAACATACTGGAGGCCTGTAAATAGTCTGAGATGAGTCCAATTAGTGAGCAACATACCTACGGGGAATATTAGCCTGTGTCTTCACAGATAATGATGCATAATAGTAAAATTTCTAAGATAAACCAAAGGATGCCTCACTAAAACCATTGCCTGTTCTCTGTTCTGTTACCTTACTGAAGACAGACATGTGAATAACAAGTGACTACACATAAACCACACAAACTAGGCAATGTAATAAAAGATTATGTTAAAGTTGCATTTTGAAAGAATGAAGAGCAGACACTCATCTGTAAGGGAGCAAGTTAAATCATCAAGGACAACAGGGAAGATGTGACAGTGCAGGAGCTGGCAGAAGTATTCAACAGATATGACAATTTTTAAGAAGAGTCAACAAAACAAAGAGTCAAGCTCATCAGAAAAGAACAAAAAGTTCTATCAGATTTTAAAATATTTTCTGAATGCCCGTGGCTTTTCAAAGTCTATGGGTTTGACTGCTTTGCTGTTTGCTGGAGTTTGACTGGTGTGTCTCTACCATACCCAAATCTATCTGGTCATATGAGGAAAAACCCAAATCCCCACTGCATTCAAGATGAAAAAAACATCCTTGGAGAAAAGAACTAGATGAATCCCTTTGGGACCAGGTTCACCTCCTCCCACTCCAAGGAGCTCCTTGCACCCTACCTGTCTATGCAATTGTTCATTTTAACTCACTACATAAGACCAGAATTATGTAATGAAAGCTTAATTCAGCAACTCAGTCAACAGCACCATTCACCAGGACAGTCAGTCCTTCCACTGCCACCCCAACAAAGGTGCCAGCAAATATGTAGGCACATGGAAGTGCTGCTCTCACCTCTGGGTACAGGTAGTCAGTCCAGGTCCAGACTGCAGAGCTCCAGGAAGCTCGCACTGCTGCTGGAGGAGAGCTGCAGGCAGGCTGCTGGCATGTCAGATCAGCATCGCTTGTGAGCTTCTGCCACCTAACAAGTTTGGGAAGAACTGAGCTTACTGGTTCACTGGCAGACTCTGCTGCTATGTTGCAGAAAGCCTATCTTGCAGCTCCAGGCTAAAAGCAAAATGAAGGAAACTCAGGCATGTTTCAAAAGTTACTCATTAATTTTGTCCTAAGTCATTAATTTTGTTTTAAGAAAGATGTATTTCTCATTCTTTTTGCTTCAAATAGTAAGCAACATCTATTAGTACTTTCTAATATAGTCATAAATTCAAAATTTTCTGAGGCAGGCAGTTATGTTCTTTCAGATTCTTCTAGCACTGGGCTCCATCTTCTCTGTATTTTGTTTATTCTGTATATACAATTGTAAAGCCACAAGTGTTTCCTAACATTCAGTATTCACACGCACATGTATTAATAATTCAGCAAAGCGAAAGTAATCTGCAAGCAACATCTCATAATGCAGAATGTTCCAACAGCAAGAAAAGCATGTGCTTAATTTTAAAATGAACAATTACAAGGGAGAGGTCTCTTTTTAATAACTTTATAGAAGTACTTTTAAAAACTTTATTGAAGTACAAAGCAGATGCTGGACATCAAAATTTTCTGGAGGATCTTGGGTCAGGTGAGAACTCCAAGTCACGTAACACAGTATCCCCGTCCCCAGAATAATCACATCCCTAACCCCCGCCACAAGAGTGGCAATATCTACAAGACTGGAAATATTTTCACAATTATTTAAGCACATCGTGTTTATCTCTACAGTTTTAAAGTGGTGGCAAAAAAAAAGGAACAAAAAACAAAAAAAAGCACTCTCTCTGCTTTTTAAGAGTGGGGTTATATTCTTGCCCCTCTCACAAACATTTTTACATGGCCACAACACCAACACTTGCAAAGGCAACGCAGCTGAAAATTTTAAAGCGCGATACAAAACTTTATTTTCACACTTCCAACAGAAAAGAGCAGCGATCATTTAGCGCTTCATACAGCAGCCAGCAAAGATGAAAAGCGGAGGCCAGCAGTGAAATTACGCAACCCGTTCGCGTACCAAACGCTGTAAATTACGATACATTAACGCAGAGAGCGCCGCCCGCCCAGACCAGCGGGCCCACCCCTCCCATCGCCCCGCTCTCCTCCCGGCCCCAAGATGGCGCCGCCGCCCCCACAGCCCCGGCCACAGCCCGCCCCCCCCTCGACCCGCCCCTCCAAGATGGCGGACGCACCTCCAGTCCCTCGGCTGCGCCCCCGCCCCGCCTGCTCCGCCTCTCCGCCTCAGCGCCGCCCCGCCCCCTCCCCGCCCTCCCTGCTCTCCCATTGGCTGATGCCGCCGCCTCTCCTGCCGCCACAGCCAATGGAAAGAGGAGGGAAAGGAGGTGCGCGCGCGGCCCCGCCCTCCTCACATCGCCCGCATCCAGTAGCTCTCGTTCCCCGGCGGGATTGCGCCCCCTGTCGGTCGGCAGCGCAGGTGCAGCTTTGGAGGAGGAGGAGGAGGGAGGAAGAAGCAGGAGAAGAAGAAGCCGGCGGGGGCCGGAGCGAGGTCCCGAGGGGTACGGGAGTGACCTGGGGCCGGACCCCTGACCGCAGGCACCCCCCATGCCAGCCTCCCAGCCCGACAGGCACCCCGGCCCCTGCCCGCCGGCCCTCGGCGCGAGCCCTGCGGCCGTGCCGGAGCGCAGCGAGACCCCGACCTGAGCTGGGCTCGGCGCCACCCCAGCGCGGGTGACAGATCTCCGACATCCCCGGAGGATGGAAGAGAAAAGAAGTAAGCCTTCAAAAAATCATATATATATATATATACATATATATATATATATATATGCATGTTTTGGGCATCCATTAGTCTTGTCAGATTTTTAGGAGTCGACTGTCTTAACCTGTCTTCCCGTTCAACTAAATGAAGTATCCAGACTGAATGCAAAGGTTTGGGGTTGATTTATTTTTTCAGTTACGGTATAGAAAAGATGAAGTAGCTAACGTCAATAAGGCATGCTTTACGTTGTCTGTGTCATTATGGGCTGCCCACGGAGGTGGTGGAGTCACTGTCCCTGCAGGTGTTTAAGGAGAGGCTAGATGCGGCATTCAGTGCCGTGGTCTAGTTGGCATCCTGGAGTTCGGTCATAGGTTGGACTGGATCATCTCAGAGGTCTTTTGCAACCTATTTGATTCCATGATTCATGGAGATAAAAATTTGGAATCTTCAATGTGGTTGAAAAGTGCTGTCTTACTTCTCCTTAGTATTCTTGCAGTGAAGGGTCTCTTGCATTTGTCAGGAAACAGATTCAGTAATTTATTTACCTTAAAAAAGCTTTCTTTTTTCCCCCCAAATAAATTAATTTAGTTATAGCACTGTTACAGTGAGCACATCAATTTAAGAAAATAAAAAAAAGGAAAACAGTGAGTTAATGGGCAGGGGGGGTTTGTGTAGACTCATCTGAATGTGCTGGAAAGTTTGGATCACCTTGTGACAGCTTCATGCTTGTAGGACAGTAAGAAATTACCTAAGTAAAAAAATTTCCTCACCTTGCTTGCTTGAGTGTTCCTCAGCTAGATCTTGAAAAGGCGTGGGATGACTGTTTGAAAGAGGAATGACTATTTCAACACAACATATTCTCACACAGTGCTCTTCCTGATACCTGCTGTAGTATTTACTTGTATAAATTTTGAAAAGCTGAGTAGCTACAACTATTTTAAATTTCTCACGTGATCTCTTACTTGTCCATTCTGCACCTCTTGCAGTGCTGTGTGACTTCTTTGAAGAGGAGAACCTTACCAGTCCCAGGGAGGAGAGCACTGAAGGTAGTATAATTTGGATTTATGAAGGGAAAGAGGAAAAGAGTGTATATTTGGCACTGCTTCTGATATGAAAATTACAACTGGAAGACAACAGCTTTGCCTTTTGTGATGCGAGAGGTTTGTCAGCAGCACTAAAGGAAACATGCACTCAGGTCATTTATCTGGTAGCTGGAGTAAGTAGCCCTGACCTTGGCTGCTTGTATCTTGCTCTAGCATCATTCCCCTGCACAGTGCTGGGAAAAAAGAGATACATGATAACGAGGATTCTGTAATGGAAAAAGAAAATCCCTCCAGCCAGATGCCAGTGCACACCCTGATCCATCAGCTGGAGAGATGGTTTTGAATGCTGACAAGGTAGAGGTAACCAGTGTCTCCTGATTCCCTGTCCTTCTGACTGTGATTGGTGATAGCAGCGTTAGCACTGGAGAGATTAGTGGTGTGGACATCTGTCTTTTTTGAAATGAATATTATACTATCAACTTCAAATGCAATCTTCGCTTCTCCATGCAAAACAAAGCTTTTGCTGCTGGAATTTTTGGGGCACTCCAGCATGAGAACTGGGGAGGCATTTCCAATGTGTGTTTTATTTCCCTACGGCCTATGCATTATTATAGCTGAGGACCCAGAAACAAGAAACTGTTCTGTCATCCATCCTCTGAAGTAATCCATCCACCAGTACTACCCAGATTTTATTTATTTATTTATCCAGATTTAGTAAATGTATGGAAACACCTGGGAACACATAATGAAGAAGGACAGCGGTTTTAATCTGCAGTGGAGAAACTTACTACTAGAATATCGAAATGCGTATTTTTAATTTAATGTATTTTTTAAATTTTATTTTAAACACAAATATTAAATACACTTTTTGTTATTTTAAATTTGTGATGCTGTCATGAACAGCAAAAGGGTGGGAATGGCTCAGGGCAGGTGGTGTCCCTTGGACCAGAAGTGTAGGTTTCCAAAAATTGTGACTTTTTCTGTAACTGGACTTTACCCTTTCCACATGTTTAAAAAAATTTCTGTGGATATAAGAGATCATTAAATTTTGTTGAGAGTTAGTGCCAAATCAAACTATTTCACAAGACAAAGTACTTTCATCATTGCCTGTTGATATTAAGTATTATGCCTTTAGCTGCTGGTGACATGAGCAGCAGGGGTTGTGGTAACAAAAGATTGGTACCTCTTTGACTGCTGTCATGGTGCTTTTGAGAGTAACCACACTGCCATAGCATCATTTGGCTTCTGATACCCTGGGCAACAGAACTCATTCTCTACTAAGTCAAAAAATGAAGGAATATTTTTTTTTGAGCCTTACAAGAATGCAGTATTTCTTGACTGCTGGGAAGGTGTCACGCCAGCACTTTTGCCAACAGAGATTTGCTGTCTGAAAGTGGAATGTAAACCTAGTGTGGTGACAGTGGACTCCACCTCTAGAAATGGAGTAGGAAAACAGATTTGCTTATGTTTTTGTACTTGGTCATTGAAGAAGAGCAACATTAACTGAGAAAGAGCTTGTTCTTTGTTCTGCCATCATTTTTTGACGTGCTGAAACATATTTCCTTTTCACAGTCCTTGACAAAGATGCACAGCTAAAGTTTTAACAAGAGCCTTTATGAATGGGCATAGCACCTTAAAGGTACATACCTTTGGAAGAGGAGAAGTTCTAAACCAGTAGCTTAAAAAACATTTATTTAAACAAAATGTCCTTTATAAATATTTCTAGTGGAGGAAGGAGGCATGATATATGGGGTGTATTAATTATTTCAAGTGATACCCCTTGTTGAACAAAATTCATCAAACTGCTTTTATCTGAAAATATTTTGAATGTTTTTTTCCCCTACTAAACATACCAAAACTAATGATGGGAAAGGATAGACAAGCTGTGCAGCTAAGAGAGGTTACAGCTATATAAAAAAAAAATCCCAGTATCTTTTATCAAGTAAAATATGCAGTTTATTCAGTTGAAAGTATTCTCCCGTTTCACTTTTGTGAGTTTCAATGATTAATTTTTAGTGGGACTCATTTGTTGTTATTTGAAGAAAGACTTCCACAGCTCCCTTTGTGACTTGTTTAAAATGTTTCTTGAAGGAGCATTGTGCACAATTGGAAGCCACTCCAGTTCATCACTTGACTTCTGTTTCCCTTTTTTGATTAAGTTTAGGAATAGACTTCTGGAGGTATAATGCATCCTGCTGTACTGATTGTTTTTCAGAAGTGCCTCCAAGTTAAATGAGTGGGAGCCTTTGAATAGTCCACTAGGAGTTAGGCATGTTTTTAGACTTCTCAGGAGCTCTAAATGGTAATTTGCATTTCAGGGGATGTGAAGACATTTTGGAAACAGCTGGGAGGTAGAAGAGTAGATGTCATATTTGAGCAAGTGCAAAATGTGCTGTCGGTGCTGAAGGAAAAGATCAAGAATGGAACTGCAACAAACCAAGGTTTGAAATCCTTGTAGTGGGTAAACTGGACTGCAGAGTAGCTGTGGCCTGCATTGTGTAGGTCTGGGATATCTGCCATAAACCAGATATCTGTGAATTTTAACAACTTAGCTGTTGGTGGTTTTAAGCACTTAAAAAAAAATCTTTACTTTTTTAAAAAAGAAAAGTAATTTCAGGTACAAGTGGCTGTTTTCTTGTTTTGCCTGTATACTTTTTCAAACAATGCATGGCTCTTAGGTACACGGAACTGAAATATTAATTTTTGAGAAGTAAAGAAATATCTGCAGTGCCTTGTGTTTAATTTATCATCAGAAGTTTTAGCCTTTCAAGCTGATCTTAGTGAATGGAGTGGTTTTGGGGTGGGATAAGAATAATCTCAGTATTATTTTTTGTCAGAGACACCATTATAACTTGGAAAAATAGTAGAAAAATGTGACACTGATGCAATTTCAGATTGTTCCTGATTTTCAAGGAAATAAGCTTCCTGTGTCTACATCAAAATACATTAAAATTGTCATTCTGATAACCTTGGAGCAGTATACAGATTTCCTTTTACTGGTTTATTTAATTGAGTAAAATTGCTTCTTTTTGTTAAGTCACCCATATAAATGTAATCTATGGATCTTATTGGGGTTTTTTGTGCAAGAAAATGTACAGTGGTGTAAGATGCTTTTAACCTAATCTGTAGCCACACGCTCTGCATTATATATATAAAACACTTCCTCTAAACTGGAAGTGCAATTTTTTGTGTTCTTGAGCTCCCACATCTTGACTGTTACGACAAAATGTCAAAGCAGTGCAGAGATAAAAGGTGAATTTGAATCCCCAGATGATGCATCTGTGATGAATCTGTGATAAAGTTCAATTTGAATTTTTCTGTGCTTTGTTCTGTAAAGGTTTCAAGCTAAAATATTAATGTGGATTTTGCTGAGAGTTGTCTGGCAGCTTGTAATATTTATTGCATGGGGTAAGAGGTTGAGACAGAACAGGTCTCTTGCATTCTTCTATCTGAAGGCCATTTCCACCAGTTTAGAAGTAGCCTTAATTTGGTCTGCCAAGTTCCCGCCCATCCTAGCCTGAAGATGATCAGGCTCATGACCAAGGTAGAAGCTTACACTAAATTGTCTTTATATATATTACTGCAACTGTAGGCCACCAGTTTGTGTGTGTTAGGAAACATTCCATCAGCTTTCCAAAAGCTGATGGATATTCACTGCCAGCTCACAGCTACTACTATGAGCTGTAAAAATTTTGTAATTCCTAGATGTGTCTGCTAAAGTCTGTGTGTGTTGTTTCTAGCAGTATCAGTCTTTCGATGTTCTAGGTGAGCACAGTGATAAGAAGCAAGTGTATGTGGAGGACTTAACACTTTGTTTTACCTATGTCATTACTTAAATTAAACTTAGTATCTGTTTTGGTTTGTTTTTTTTGCCTAGAATGCTGGCAGGCTTGGGCACTGGTGAATGAAGCCAATCTAGGTGATCTCTTAACCTTGGCAAATGGTATGTGCATTTCCATTGTGTTTGTTCGGTATGTGGGTGTAATTTGTCTTGTTTTACTCACCGGAAGCTCAATTCCCTTCTTTGAAATCAATAAAATAGTTCTGAGAAGGCCATTAGCATTGCACTGAGGAAAACCTAATTATTAATTTCCTCAAGTACTGTGAACTCTCACGTGGGTTTGTATTTTTGTGGTTTGTGTGTATAATACTCGTACCACAGGAAGAGAGTTTGAACTAGTAAGCCCTTATGAACTCAAGCTGTCTGTGAGCAGGTATTCTGTACATGGCTCCACTAGCTGTAATAGCTTGGCATGCTTTTATCTCTAAGAATGAAGGTAAGTCTGTAAATGTGTTTAATGAGCATTTTCTTTGTGGTCACTTTGAAAACCACATGGAAGGCTTTTCAGTAGGGCACTTGCTAACAAGCTTTTGTTAGCTGTAGTTCATAGCAATGCCTTGTTTGTAATGTGTCTTATTAATTATCTCTTTAGTAACTGAAGTAAATTCAATCATAAATTGAAATCTGGATTGATGAAGTTTTTGCTCACATTCAATTTTTTTCAGTAGGCGATGAGTTGAATGGAGATGGTACACAGGAAACAAAACCCAACCTGCAGCCTCTTCTTCCAGATGTCAATGCTGCAGACACTGTAGAAGCTTCTGACAGGTCAGTGCCTTCATTTCAGTTCCTTATTTGACATATTCTTTACTGCAGTTGAGAGAGTTCTCAAATTTGTATTTCCAAAGTCAGTGTTTTAAACACTGTTTGAATCCTGCGAGTTTTCAAAGTGAAAATCTTTTTAACTTAATCTACGTGGCAAACCTGAGATTTTGGATAGACTTGTCTAATTTCTCACGCAAGAACATTGCAGAATAGGGCATTAGGTTGTGAATAAAGGTTTATGAGTGTTATCAGGGTTAGGACTTAAGCATCAGTTCTCAGGCTTTCCTTACTGTGCAGATAGTCAGGTGTGTAACTTAGTCGCTCTGTGTTTAGTATTTAGCCTCAGGTGCTTTTTTGAAAGATGGGATAAATACATCATTCCTTTTTTTGTAAATGTCCTTTCTGTGTTTTAGCATGTAAGTTCTGGGCAGAACTTTTTCTTTTATACAACTGAATATGTCTTTATATATTAGGACGATTACACTATGTGAAACCTTGGGCCTTCTAGCAATGGGGCTAAAAATATTGAACTGCTAAAAAACTGAACACCACACTGGTTGTCTAAGATGCTGCTCTTCTTTCTTTTTTTTTCCTCCTTTGCTTCAAATAGCGAAAAAGAAGACATGGAAAGAACCTGCTCAGAGAGTAAAGAAGCATCTAGCAAAATTCAAGGTTTATCTTTAAATGTGCAATATCAGAACCACAAGTGCTCTAGTGCATGTCTTGCCAACAGAGCAGCGGGCTCCTACAAGGGTGAAAATCCTCTGAAGATCCCAATCCTGTTTGACTTTCAAAGACGCCATGCAAAAGCAGATTGCCTTTCGAAGCCACTGGATGTGAATTACAAAGCTCCTTGCGGTCGGAGTCTGAGAAGCTTTCGAGATGTACAAAATTACTTGTTTGAAACAGAGTGCAATTTTTTATTTGTTGATCACTTCTCCTTCAACACATATGTGCTGTTGGGCAGGAACACCATGAATCCCGAGCCCCTTGTGTTTGAATTCGATATTAGCAACGGAGCAGAGTCTGTGCCTGTCTCCTTCTATAACAGTCTCGACCATGCAAGATTGCCTTATTTCAAGTATCGGAAGTCATCATGGCCACGTGGATATTATCTCAACAATTTCTCCAGCCTGTTTGTTGATTCCTGTGACTGCACAGATGGCTGCATTGATAGGTAGGTAGAAAGATCTCATCTCAGGCCAGTGACACAGGGTGCCTCAACAGCAGGGTGGTGGGGTGTGAAGGCACAGTACCAAAAAGGACCAGCACTATCTTGTGCCATGCTTTGTGTTGACTGACACCATTGTGTCTTTCTTTTCTCCAGAACTTGGGTGCTTCTATTGGTCCACCCTCTGTTGTAGGGAAAGAAGCGATCAACAGGAGGATTACTGTGCTCCTTTTTCTTGCTTCCCAAACTGGCAGTGCTTCTTCTCCAGGTGGAGCTGACAAGCAGATATCTTGGCTTTGGAAAAAGAGTAGGGAAGGGAGTCTTGTGCCAGCAGACGCAGGCTTGTTTTCATGGCAGGCAGGGAAGGATCCTGCATGACAATTTCTGCTGCAGTTCCTAATGTAAAATGGCACCCTAAAGATTGGGTGGGACAGCCTTGAGGGATCAGATAATTTGGAACTTAGAGGATTACTGAGAGCAGATGAAGAAACATCCCAACCTCTACATGTTGTCCTTCCCCTTGTCTAAACAGAAACTACAAAACTCAGTGGTTACAGAATACCTTTGTGGTCTGAGCAGTCCCAATACTCTTGCTCATTGTCGTCTTTTCTAAATCCAAATAACTCTGAACTGTAGACACTGTGGGAACCTGCCACAGTTACCATATGCAAGTTTGGTGGTATTTTTGTCTACTTCCTTGTAGGGTGTTTGTCTAATCTCTGTCTGTAGGCGTTATTTGGTGTTCCATCCATCTTGTATTATTGACAGCAAGGGCTGTTGCACATGCTGCTGTGCAACATAGTTGCTCATGACCCAGAAAAAGCTTGAAATGACAACCTGGTGTAATGAAGCTTAATGTTAGTAATTTAGTTTCAGCTGAGTGGTGGGAAAGAGCAAGCACACAGCATGCCACTTCTATGCACTAAAGTCCCACAAGAAGTGAGATGCTTTTGCTCTGCAGTTTTGGGGTTTAGGATTTGCACAATTGCTGTGACTCTTTGAAGTTTTTGTGACATACAATGGTGAAGACAAGCACTGTTGCTTGAATTTTCTACAGTGTAAAATTCTTCACTTCATGGGGGCTAAGGAGGGAGGAAGATAACCGAATAGTGGCAAACAGGCTGGGATGCTGTGCCAGAAAGGTGATTTTTATTAATTTGATCCATGTGACAGTGCCCTGCTTCTGATAAGTTTCTGTTGTACTTCAGCTGTTTGCATGTGCCATTTAAGGGGCTTGGCAGAAGAATGGAGTTGGGGTGGAGAGAACATGGTTATTGCAAAGCACATGTAACCAGACAAGAGACTAAGGAAAAAGGTACCTGAAACAGCCTCGTGGAGTAAAAGGAGCAGGGAGGGGGAATACAGGTGTATACATGGAAGTGTGTGTGTGTATAGTCAAGTGCATTTCAAATTACCTAGATTTATGATTGATTTATGCTGCTTCAAATCCATTCTGAGATGTTTTACTCTTATTTTTAGGTCAAAATGTGCATGCCTACAGCTAACAGCAAGGGGCTGTAGTAAAATTCCTCTGTCACCAAGTAGTAAAAGATCCCGTGGATACCGTTACAAAAGACTGGAGGGACCTGTTCCTAGTGGGTAAGAAAGACTGCAGGAGTAAAATAACAGCATACAAATAAAACAGCAGTTAGTAGTTCAGTCTAAGTGCCACAGGATTAAAATAACTGGAGTTTTTGTACTACTGAAACCTTCAATTTTGTCATAATTTCAGTGACAGATCAGGATGATAAATAATTAATGTGACTTGAGTAACAGGAGGAAAAAAAAAACTTCTGTATTGCAGATCCTACAGTTTTCACAGCTTAGGTCAAGGTCCAAGAGAAGTTACCAGAGTCTTAGAGACACATCAGCCAGCTGCTTTTGCCAGGCTTAGTTATGGGTGACTCTTCCAAGAATCTCCAAAGCCATTCAATGCTTCCTTTTCTTTCCTTTTCCCCTTTCTCTTACTCAGCTCCTGTGGATTAATAGGTGGTCTGGAGAAGATGCCAGTTACTCCAGGTGTCTAGGAGAGGAATTATGCAAGGTAGCTTTCAGCAATAGCCAAGGGCTTGAACTACAGACTTGAGGAGCCCCATCCAGTCCTCTGTATGATGCTAGTTTTTGGTTGACATGCAGAATTAAAGTTGTCAGAGAGCCCAGAAACAGATGCAAAATAAAGCACAATTATGAGTCCTTTTGGAAATGCTTCAGTAAATCCTGAAATTCGTGACAGTGAAGTCCAGGCATAGGTTGTCTTGGAAAATCTGTTCCAGTATAGAATTAGGTGCTTCATAGGGATTTCTGTCTCTGTGTGATTTAGTCCTGTTAAACAAAAATACGCCATTTGTTTTTCTTGTATACTTATGCCAAAATCTGGCAGACAGGCTCTTAAAGTTAATGAATCAGCAGTCAAGAAAGTCACAAGCTTCAGAGCATTGCTGCACAATCAGTTTTAGCCACAGACTTTATATTTCAGTGTACTGCCTTGTTGACGCTTAGAAGGGGAACTAATAATAGGAACTTGGTTATGGTAATGCATCCATTTATGTCTTGTTTTGTTTTTCTTCCTCTTGACAGGATTTATGAGTGTAGCGTATTGTGCAGGTGTGACAAGCTGATGTGTCAGAACAGAGTTGTACAGCATGGCATTCAAGTCAGGCTGCAAGTGTTCAACACGGAGAAGAAGGGCTGGGGTGTCCGCTGCCTGGATGACATCGACAAGGGGACATTTGTTTGTACTTACTCAGGTAGCAGGAGGGGACCTGTGAAGACATGTAGCATAATTCTCCCTCTCCCATGGTGCATGCCCTGGATATTTTTGAGAACAGGAAAATGCAGGGTTGGAAGAGAAGTGTATCAATGGAATCTTAACCTGCAATAAGATCAAATGGAAAGAAGAACTTTGAAGAGCTCTGCTATGAGATGGTTACAGACAAACAAAACAATATGCAGCAAAACCTATCTCAGACTGCTGATTTTTTTGCCTCACAAGTCTGTGCATCCTATGCCAGGGCTAATTTTCCTTCAGTAAAAATCATTAAATAGTAGAATGGTTTGGGTTGCACCTTAAAAAACATCTAGTTGCATTCTCACCATGGGCAGGGACACTTTTCACTAGAGCAGGTGGCTCAGGACCCCACCCAACATGACCTTGAACGCTTCCAGAGATGGTGCTTTCACAGCTGCCCTGGGCAACTTGTGCCAGTGCCTCCCACGTTCACAGTGAAAGAGTTCTTACTACTACCTAATCTAGATGTGCTCTCTTTCAGTTTAAAGCCATTGTCCTTTGTCTTATCACTACATGCCCTTGTCTAATTCAGTTTGTACTTCAGCCTATACTGACATCGTAGAATTATAGACAGCATTCATATTTTGCTTTCCCAAGTAATACTCTTGTATTTGTTAATGTAAGTTTGACCTGTGATAGTGAGACTCAGCAAACAAGCATTAAAAAAAACAAAAAACAAAACAAGAAAACTTGTTTCCTTTACTTTTTCTTTCAGGCAGATTAATGAGCAGAGCTGAAGTATTGGGAGATGCTGAGCAAGAGCTGAAGGAGAAAAGTGCAGTGAATGACAGAGGCCATGACTTTTCTTCCAGAAAAAGAAAACTTGACATTGATCGTTCAGACTCAGTGGTTGAACTAGTGCAGACTGACAAAAATGACATTCTTGAGAATCAGGAATCTTTGTCTCAGACTGTGGATAATGAAAATAAATCAAGCCTGTAAGTTTAGCAAAGTAAGCTTAAGCATAACAAAACTAACATTCTGCTAATCTAGGAATTTTGTTGTATAACTTAATGTATGTCCTCATATGGGGGTGGTGGTTTTTTTCTATCTGAACTTCTTATTAAATTCCTAATTATTTCTTCTAGTGAGATAGAGTTTTCCCTCTATATTAATTTTTCTTATGTGTACCACTTGGCATTTTCTAGAAATTCAGTTCATCTCTTAGGTGTACTTGATCTTTTCAGGGCATTAATGGTAATGCTAATTTGAAAGAAATAATAAAATACTCTTGAGATAGATTGTTTAAAGATATTCAATGACACTGAAGGGTTTGCTAATACCTCAGCCACCAGCTGTTTTGCCCTTTGCTCCCAGTCTCTAAACTTTATGTTATTTGTAACGTAACCTTTCTTGCCAGAAACCTTAACCTCTCCTGTTAAGAGTCTGGCAACACCTCACTTTTGCAGTGAATATGTTTTCCTAGTTGAAAGCTGTACTGTCAAAACTGTTGGAAGTAGTAGCAGGAAAAGGCAAAACTCTGCAGGTGCTCTCTTTTGAGATAATCTGATATAATAATAGTAAAGCAACAGGCAGTTTGATTCTCAGAACGAAAACTGGAAAAGGAGTAATTAAAGTAAAAGCAGCTGCTGATCTCTCAAAAAAGTTTGAGCAACTGCCTTCTTACAAATACTATAGAGAACCTAGCCTATGTTCTCAATTAAAAACAAAATACCCACAGAGCATGGAGTGAGGGCAGACTGCAGGCTCTGCTGTTGTTCCTTCTAGAGAAGAGACTAGAGACTGTTAGAGAAGTGTGTGTTGTGAGAGTTCCTTATGGGTCTGTTTGTCTTTTATCATTTCCTTTCAACCTTTCTGTATAGGGTTCATCTAAAGAACTCAAGTAATGCAACTGTGGGAGGTCCTGGAAGAAAAACACTTGTTTTTCACAATCACCAGCTAAAAATGGTAATTAGTGGCTTCAACATATTCATATTTCACTGTTCTGAATATGTATGTTAATTTTGACATTTTCATCTTGTATGTTTAGATAGTTTTAATGACCTTTCTTCATGAGATTGTGTCACATTGTGAGCTAGGCTGTCATGCTGGAAGGTGCACCCCATCCCCTCTCCATTAGCAGTCCTTCAGTATGTTCCCCCAGACCAGCACTATCTACTCTCACTGCCTCCCCTTCTCTACCCTTCACTTATACTCCTCAATAGCCTGAAGTAATTATTCTCCCCCTACACCCCTTGTGTACAGGGTTAGGGGGTCAGAGTGATATTATTTTTGTGATATCTCCCCGAAGAATGGTCTAGTGGGGAGAAAAAGGCATCTCAGGATGTCTTATGCAGTTTTCTCATACAGTGGCAGAGCTGGGAGAACTGACCTGAATGAGACTCCTGACCTTTCATGAGTGTGCATGCAAACATGTGCAGAGGAAAACTGGTGTAAACTTATGTTGTAGGTTTTACTGGATTCATTACCCTTAAGAAATGCACATGGAATTTTCATGCAAACATTTTGCTGTGCTGTCCATTCTAGAGGTCCCATAACTAATTGCCTTTTTGTGATGGGAGAGGAAAATTCTGCCACATCTGGTCATTTCATTGAAACTGTGTAAAAAGCATCTTTGGGATTTGGCTCAGCAACTTACAATTCTAGTGAAATTGTTGAGACTTAAGCACTTTTTTGCATGTCTTATTGACTGAGGGACTCTTTCCTGGTTATTATGAAGGATAATTTGAAATTAAGATAAATGTTGCATTTCAGTAAATGTATTAAGTTTTAAAATTCAGCCACAGCTATGCATGACAGTAGCTTTGAAACTTCAGCCTTGGTGTTCTTGCCGTGCCCTCTTTGGCCCAGAGTTGCATGCAGCAACAACACATCACAGCCTTTTCATTTGATTCACAGGTGCACAGTGTCAGCTCAGACGAAGATGATTGTTCTCAGGTTCATCAGTCAAGCAAAACAAAACTAATGAGTGGAACCAAGAAAGGAAAAGAAAGTAGGTTTACAGAGCGCTACATATTGTATGCTTTGTACAGTTGTGTCCCATCAGGTGATACACTTTGATGTAGACAGTGTGGGCAGGCCAATTCTTAGAGTAGAATTGTGTTGTCCGTAGATGTTGAGACATGTTGAACTGTCCAGCCAGCAGCTTCTTAAATACTGTGCAGTTGTGGAAAGTCAGTCTTGCAGATCTTGCTGTGTCACACCCAGTACCTGTTCCAGACAACAAAAGTTGAACAGGATATAATACTGGAGTGGGGGGACCTCAAGTTGGAGAGGCAGTGTGAAACCGATGCTGTCAAAACACATCTTTGTTTCTGTCTTAATTACAGTTTGTGATTCTCTTGGGAATTAAGGTGGAGAATGATCAAAAATGCTGTGTGGGAGAAATCAGTCTGGAATGGGATTTGAGAAGAGTGAGACACTAGGTCATTCAGAGGCACCTTGGGCTAATGCTTTAGGCATCACAGTAGGAAACAGTAATTTGTGGGAGGATTGATAAGAGACATGGAAAAGTTGTGTTACAGATTTGTAGCTAGCAAGGAAGACATGGGAAAAGTGAGTGGCTAAGAGTTCAGGGCAAATCAAGGGAAAGGCTTTGGCCTTAAACTGGTGTTGAGAAATAACATACACGTCCATTGACAGAATCCACCCAGAAGCAGAAGGAAGAACATCTGATGGAAGTTGGGCAGACTGACTCTGCTGGTGTACAGAGTGCAAGATGCAAAAGAAAGAGTCTGTCACTGCAGAGTGTTCGTTGTCGCAAGTCCAGTGTGCTGGATGACACATGTATTGTGAGACCATCCAATAATGCACCCCTAAAAGCTGACTGCAAAGGAAATAGCAGGCAGCCAAAACAAGATGCACTTTGTGAGGAGTCTGATGGTGATGGGATGCTTCCCAAGAATGATAATGAAGGAAATATTTATGTACTGGATGCCACAAAAGAAGGAAATGTGGGTCGTTTTCTAAATGTAAGTACTAAGTTGCATGGGTTCTCTTTGCTGTCTCTGCAAATACATCATCTACTTATTTAAGCTTAAACTAGAAAGTTTTTGCACATAAACAGTATGGGTGGTAGGCACATTACAAGAGAGGCACATGTGGTGCTCTCTGCCACTACAGGTGGCAGGACAGTAGGCAGAGTCACAGGTTGGCTGTTCATGCCTCCATAAGCTGATAATGCTATGTACCAGATGTAGTTTTTGGCACCACTGGGTTCCTGAGAGAAATATTCCCAGTAATGAATGATACATTTTTTGTGATGGCTTTTTTTAGAGGTTCAGAGACTAAATAGCACATTTTATTGAACCATATGCCTTCTCCCAGCTGTGTTTGCTTTGTTCCCCAGCCATTGTAAATTCTAGTTTGTGTTGGTTTAGGACATGTGTTGTGTTGTTGTATAAAACTTCCCTGCTGTTCAGTCATAGTTTCAGAAAATGGTGTGTCATAGTGTACATGTTTGCTAACTAAGTCTCTCGATTTTGACTTGCCAAGAAATAAATAGCAATTCATTACCAAGTACCTCCAGCTAAAAGAAATGGTTCATAGACACATCTGAAGATACTCTGCAAATAGTTTATTTCTCTTCATTGGCATGAATATGTCTTACAGCAAAGCCCTTGCTTATGTTGAAGCTGTTCTTCCTTGCAGAGGTAATATGGTGTTAATATTAGTAGTGCATCTTGCAGAAACCTTCCTTCTGTTCCTGTGAGCATACAAATGTTCCTACATGCACCTGAGTGACCTTTCACATCCTGTACTTGGCCAACACACAGTCATGTTATCCATTGCTTGCTCCCTTGCACTGCTGCCCTGGCAATGGCATTGGATGATAAACTTTCCATGTGGACTGGAGAAGGGAAGAAAGAAACTACCTTTACTGGTGACAGATATCTGGCACAAAATATTTTTTCAGGCAATGATGTAGTGTTGGACTGTTTCTAATTCAGATTTTCTGTTTTACAGCACAGCTGTTGCCCAAATCTCTTTGCACAAAGTGTGTTTGTAGAAACTCACAACAGAAGTTTTCCTTGGGTGGCATTCTTCACAAACAGGTGAATTTCTGGAAGCATAATATTGTTCATTCAAGGCACTAGGAGGAAAGAAATGGTGCTTAGTTATTAGGAAATAATTACACTGAGGGGTGAGGCAGATGCTTAGATCATAAAAGCACAAAACTACCTTCTTACAGGTGACTTCTTATTGTGCACTAAAGACAGAAGAAATACAACTCATTGGTTATCACTAATGAGTTTTGCTTCAGTTTTGCACTGGAATGTAAAGTAGGGAAGGTTAATTTTGATGTGTCCACTTCAGTGATAATCTTCTTCAGTGGAGAAATAAGCTTCACTCAGCATGAAGATTTGGAAAGCCAAGATTCACTCATCCCACTGTTGTGTCGCAATGAATGGCCACCAGATCTCTGTCCTATAGAGCAGGATTGAACCCCACAGGATATAAAGGCTGAGACACTGTGGGCCAAACAAGCTGGCTTCGGTCCTTTTCCTCACAGCTATCAAGACAAGCAGGACTTTGTGTAACCAAGCATGTCCTGGGGATGTGACAATGGGATATTCAGAGGGGAAAATTTGTTCTGAAAGTACCTAGTGTCTAACAGAAAGAGAGGTAGACAGCTGGTGCCAGCAAGACACAATATGGCAGCAACTCAACCCAGGAGAGGAAAGATGAATTGCATGAATGAAGTTAGCTGATATGCATGCCAGCAGTGAGAAATAGGTGAGAACAGAACAGAGAGGAGAGACTTCGTGCTGATAGACCAGTTCCAGGGAACACTGATCTTCTGTGGAGCCTTGCAGCTCTGCTCCATACTGACACAGATACTGTGGATTGCACTGGGAGGTCTCCAAGAACTGTGAAGACAATGTTTTGAAATATGTCCAAAAAAAGATTTTATTTTAGGTAGAGTCTTCCTTGCTTAGTTACTCAGTAAAGAAGTGTAGTGGGGACTGAGGCCACTGGAGAGAGATAATAGTGACCAGCAAAGATGTTTAGGGAAGAAGATGATTGAACGAGAGTTCTCCTCACTGTCTCTTCAATTGTTTGGGCAACACCCTTTTACAACTTTTCTAAATTAAGGACTTCATCTGGATAATTGAGCTTAACTGTGTGCTTTTCATGAACTTCCCCAGTCACCTTTTTATTTGTTTTACATGTCTGGTCTCTAGAACATCTCAAGTCAGCAAGTCCAGGCTGCAGTTATGTACTGTATGAAAAGTCCTCATTTTTGGTTGTCAGTTAGCTGCCTGGAAATTCACTGGATGTCCTCTATACCATATCCAGTGAGAAACATCAGAGAATTACTGTCTTCATCACAATATTCATATTTTATTACATTTTCCATCAGTTGTCCCTCAGCATCATAGTCTCAGCTATTTAGTTTGGCATTCATTTTGGACAATGAATTTCCTACCTTGGACATTTCTTCTATTGTACTACCAGAGCAGCTGGTTCATAAGGAGCATGTGTTTAATTCTGAGTTTTGGGCTTTGTTTACATAGTGCAATTGCATTAAAAGGTAGCCAGTCAGACCAAAGATTAGTCTTCAACAGCATATCTAAAAATCTGTTCAAACTTCAGTGATGCACTGTACATAGTAAAAACAACAAAACTGTGTTATTCATTTAGATGTATCACTTTTGTGGTTTTCCTTTTCTTCTTTTTTTTTGTTTTGGGGTTCTGTTTTGGTGGGTTTTTTGAGTTCTTGTTTTGGCAATTTTTGTTTGTTTGTTGTTTTGTTTTTGGTCTTTTGTTTGGTTGGCTTTGGTTTGGTGGGGTTTCTTTGTTTCATTTTTGTTTCCTAGAATTTCCCCACTTAAGTTAGAGCACATTATTTAGATTCCAGCCCAATTTGCAATCTTGATAGCAATTTCCATAGGCAAAGAAGCAGAAGTGTGCCAGTGACTCTTTGTATCCCTTGTTTCTCTCCCAACAAGCTGCCTGTGTAATGCTCCCTGCCCCGTGCAATTTTTGGGTTTGCATGTGTGTTGTTGGTGACAAATTATTAGCACAGTACTGTTTCACTTAGTTCAAGCAAATTGACTGAGTGTTTTATTTCTTAGACATGTGAAAGCTGGAACCGAACTCACATGGGATTATGGTTATGAAGCTGGAAGCATGCCAGAGACAGAGATTTCCTGTCACTGTGGAGTTCAGAAGTGCAGGAAAAAAACCTTATAGGAAAAGCTTTCCTACTGTCAACACGTCTTGTACCTAGGGATTTATATGCTGGAAGGGATGACTACTCAGCAAACAGTCCTCAACTCCATGGTGCTAATTGCATTCAACTAAAATGCCTTTCACCTGATGATTTTTTAAATTTACATTTAAATATCACTTTTGTAGTTTACAAAATTAGAACTGTTTGTCCTAAGAAGAGGCATCAAGCCTTTCCTAGGTAATTTCTGTTCTCCTGGTCTTCCTCCTCCCTGCTTCTAATCCACAAGCAAAGTTCATAGTGTACTGGAAGAATTCCTGCTCCATGCCATCTGCAGCAGAGGCACGATGAGAGCAACAGTTCCTCGGTGCTTTCTGTGTCCCTCCACAGTGCAGAGTTAGCAAAACTCAAGTTTCTGAAACTCATTATGAATGCAAGACTGCCTGTCTGGGCTCTAGGAGTTGTTAAAAGACACCTAAGATGTCAGGTCACGACATTGGTGGCTGGATTCTTTTTCCCCAGGACTGAGATTAACAAGAGACTGTTTTCTCGTGTTTGGGCTTAGTTGTTTATTCTTTTCTTATCTATATTACATATATACAGAGTACAAGAAGCTACATACATTAAGATAGAAAGGTGCAAAATGGAGAGCAAAGAATCTTTCCAAGGTCTTTTATGTGTCTTTTTGTCCAATAATCAAATGCCAAGTAAATTATTTTTCTTAGTGACCCGATCACCCGAAACCTGTGTGCTGCACTGCAGATTTCTTTGTCCAATCACTCATTATTACCCAAAAACCCTTAGAAGAGGATGATGAAGAAGGAAGAAGGAGAAAGGGACAATGCCCTAAATCGTCCATATTGTCTTATTTTCTAATATAGCTTAAACCCTAAACTCTAACTTTCTTACCCAGTGACTTAAGAAAACTCTGTGTAACTTATACACTCACATCACCAGTTTCTCCACTTAACTTTAAAAGCTGTCTCCATGTTTTTAGACTAAACTCAGTGCTGTCTTGGGTGTCAGAGCCAGGCACCACAGACCAGGCCTGTTTTCTATGCTTCTGACCCCAACACAAAGCCTGTTGGATACGGTGGGACAGATAGTCCTGAACAGAGGCAGAATTAAACAGAACAGTTCTACAGAGCTGTATTTGTGCTACAAAATGAGCTAAACAAGTCCTGCTGCAGCAGGAGAGAAATGACTGGGTTTTTTGGATTGCACCCCTTTCCACATCTGTGACACACAGAGAAATCCTTGAGAAATCCAGTGTACCTCATCTCAGTGCCATATTGTGTATGGGACAGATGGGCCACAGAATTCCTTACCACATTGTTTGCTGGTAAGACAGCAACAAGCTACGTTAGGAGACACAGAGTGCAGCGCAGGAGGTGGCTCTGAGATGGAACAAGGGATGGGTGTGCAGGTGTGTGGCTTTTGAATATGTTGGAGCCTTGGGCAAGCAAGGAGGTGTTGCAGATGAGCAATTTAGACATTTGAAGAACCACTCCCAAAGGTTTCAAAAAAAGTGGTTTTATTAAAAATGTTGTAAAAGTAAGACTTAACATAGTGTTATAGCAAAGTTTACTTTTACTGCAGAGGATATGATAATGGTTTAAAGTTACCAATACAAAATCTAGTGGCCCTGTAATACAAGGCTCTGTGTGATATCAGTCACTTATCAGAGACCTTCAGTTGATCAAGTGTCTCTCAGCCTTGAGGAGTAACATTGACAGCATCCCAGCTCATGGGGAGATCACTGCCATACAGCCAGCTGATTAGCATGAGAGCTAAGAAAACCCACTCGCTCAGGCTGTCATTTATGGAATAAAATGGTTGGCTTGAAGTCAAATTACCTTTGTTGGAGAAGGTAAACATGAGAGTCTTGAACCTGCACCTTTCTTTGTTCCTTGATAAACTAGTCTCGGAACTACCACCCACTATTCATGTGTTGATTGCATGGTTGGTTGGTATCCCAGATTCCAAGTCCGCATGCCTCGGTTCTCACCATGTCACCCTGCTCCTGTGGGGGTTTTCAGAGAAATGGTTGGAACAAATTAAGGTCTTGGCCTGGTTATGTCCAAGCCTATACTGCAAAATGAACCAGTTCTCAGCCCTGACGCCAAGAGGCAATGGATGTCTTATGCACACATAGCTTAGGGTTCTGTTTTAATTGGGTTGTATCTGTGCTCTGTAACTGTGGACAAACATAGCATCTGTGGCCCTAAGTGGTTTTCTTTTTTAGTTTGTTTTGGATGCTTCAAGCTTAAAAATCATGGGGAGTTGTATTGCAACACAGGATGCTCTTGAATTTCTCAAGTTCCAGCATGCATGAGGAGTTTCAGTGTGTTAAAAGTAGACTTTTAACAGAGAAAACAGACCTGTGAACCATTCTGCTTACAGTGAAACCAGATCCTCTCTCCCACAGCTCTGTTTGAGAGTTTGACGTGTCCATCAAGCAAACCTCTCCTCAGCTTTCATCCCAGTCATCACACTGGGTTTGTGTGGGCTTTCACCACCCGTCTCCAGAGACAAATGCAGAAGAGTGGGGTTACCCCAACGTTGGTGCAGTACCTCCTCAGAAAGTCAGAGCCACCCACTCTTGCACTGATCAGCCCCTTTGGCACTGCATCCTCTGTGTTGGCCGAAGACAGCACTCAGCCCAGTTGCTTTTTGCTTCATTGAAGATTTGTGTCTACTCAGGAGGAATATGCCTGGGGGGAACATCTTTCAATGTTAACCAGAGACATGCCAAAGTGTATGACAAACCCATGGGTAACCCAGGAGTGGAATTAGCCTTTTAAACAAATGAAAATGTAGAAAACATCTGTGTCTATGCTTGACTTGAATGTGGAAAGAAGAGGGGATTGTTTTTAAAGCATCAGGAGTGGGGGGAAAAGAAGGTACATTTTACTGCTGTTGATTATATATTCCAGATCAGTGGTAGAAATTAATGATACTGGGCTGGTGAGGAAAAGCCCAGTTTCTTAATGCAGGAGAACAGACCTGATGTTTCAAGAGGCAGCACTTACTTGCTCCATGTGATCTGCAACTCTGGGAGAGCCTGCTGTGGGCGTAGATGTGTATGAGACAGGGCTTTTTGGCTAACTGGGTTTATCAGGTCTGTCTCCAGGCTGGTGCTTCTTCATTTTCCTTCTCCAGACCAGAGATCATAACCTATCCATGAGCAAAATCACCTTACAAAATGTGATTTCTGCCTGCTTCTGTAGTATTACTAGGACAAGCTCTGCTGAGAGTGTCCTGCAAGTGTCCTCTGCAGGAAATGACCACAGGAGTGCTCACCTGAGCTCGCTCTCTGCTCTGCTGACTGTTCCTTTGCTTGTCACAGCTCACAGGTGAGGATGTTTCTGAGCACAGCCCCTTGCATCACCCATGCTTTAGCAGAGCAGTGTGTAGAAGCACCAAGCCATAAGCACTGATGGAAAAACAGGTGAAGATATTCCAAGTGAAGTATTCAAAAGCACTTGTGGAATGACACATTTGGGACTTCTCATCAGCCTGTCAGGGGCGTCATAAATGAAGGGATGGGATTTATGAGGCCTGATGGGAATTAGTTGCACTGAGATGTGAATCGCAGCTCTTAAAGTGAGCAAGATGATCTCTATGGAGGGACAGCAGGGATCTAAGGATTTATAAGGGCTCCATGGAAATTAATATTAGTGCCCAGGATACAAGCATACAAATGCAAAGACAGCTGAAGATCACTTATGGCTTAAGTATAAAAGAAACTAGACTGGAGCATATTAACTGATTTTTTTTTTTTTTCTGGGACAGAAAATCACTGAGCATTAATTTCCAGCTCTTTGTATTTCACAGAACTTAATAGTGCAACAGGTTGAAGGAAGAGCTCACAAGGGTTTTGGACTTGATTTTCCTCCACAGAGAATTTTTTCCTGTGTTGAAGAACAGACTTCTGTTAGGAAGATTTTACTAGTTCAAGATTTATGCATCTGTGTGTGCTTGAATCATGTTTGAGTATCATCTAGGTAATAGACCTGGGAATTGGAATTGTGTAGCACCATTTGGCTAATAGATGTAATCGAATTCCAAGCCTGGACACAGGGGTTGATCTTAGCTCTGCTATGCTGCATCTGGGCAGGTACAAAGAGATTTGGGAAACCAGCTGGAATGATACCAGCAGTACTGAAAAGCCAAAGCTGATCTAGCTTGTTGGGAAGGTAGAATTAGAAAGAAATTATAAATATGACTCTTTAGCCAGAAAGGCTAAGGAAGAAATACAAATGAAAGCACCGTTTGAATAATTCAAAGAAACCGGTCTGGTATGCCAGAACACATTCTTTCCCCCAATAAAACTAAGCTAAGACCCCTCTCCCCAGCCTTATAAGGAAAGGTCTGAAGGACCCTGAGATAACTAAAAATATGCAAAAGCAGCATTTTCTATAGGTCGCACACAAATGTTACTGTATTAGTATACTTAGAAAGATTAGTTAGTAAAAGAATAGAATATTCAAATGTATAGATTATATAAGTAATTGTAAAAGAGAGTTCTCTCTCTTGCTACGCTCTCTTGCTCTTGCCTCACTCTTTCTACGCTCTTGTTTCTCCTGTTTCCTCTTGCTTCTCTCTTTCATCCTCTTTTTCCTGGCTCTCTCACTTCTGTTCTGTTACCCTCTTTCTTAGCAATCTTAAGTCTTGAACTCATGTATTCATATTTTACCCCCTTTTGTATTGTTCTCTCCGAGCCTGCTTTGAGCTCTATCTGCTGGCTCATAGCAGACTCTCTCTCTCTCTCCCACGCCCTGAAATAAACTACTAACATCTAACTCGACTATAGAGGTCTCTGCCGTGTCCCGGACTGTCCACCACCCCAAAAGCGTCTCTTACATAGGTGGTAAAGGTAGCTGATCTTAAAAGCTCCATGTTGTATTTGGTGTGGCCTCCTGATGAGCCAGATTATGCCTGTTGTGAGAAACTAAGCCCACTCCTGAAAATTTTAAGAGGTTAATAAGGGATAATAAGATCAGTGAAGCAAAAGGAACAGCACTGGATGCACACACACACCTCTCTAGCAAGCATTCCTTTATACTGTTGCAGTTGCATTACTTCCCCAAATGACTCTGCCAACTCCTCAGAGTCTGTTTACCACAACTCCACCTCAGATTGTTACAGCATTGCATAAATCCACATTTACAGTGTCCGAGAGTCCATCAAGGAGGCAGTCCAGGGTGGTCTTCTGATGCCCTTTAGACTTGGTATTTTTCCTTTTATGGTATCTTGTTCTCTGCCTGTGCTATCTTGGTTATACACAAGACCAGCCATATCTTATTGTTACAAATAGCTGTGTAGTTGTTTGCTTTCGCTATTATGTACTGGCTTTTGCAAATTATTATTAATCACAACGATTTTAATATTGTACAGTTTATAATCACTTTTAACTGCTTTTGATATAGTATAATTTGTTAGCTTTTTGATGCCTTGGCCCCTGTGTAGCTTGTATCCTTAGAACATCATTTATGGATGATAGTTTGTGGACAGTGTGATGAACACATTATAGTTTTGGCTTTCACAAATATTAAAGTGGATGCTATCCATTGTGCATTATAATGTTAACTTTTGCAGAAGTAGCTATAGTTGTGAAATAATAACTAATGTTTTATTTTTGTAACTGACAATAATGAAAATAACTCAAATGGATTTGTGGAATAGCTGCAGGATTGAAAGTGGTGCAAGCCCTGCACTCTTGCCAGCACTGTTCTTCTCCCTTTTCACTTTCTGTTTCCTTTCTCGTTTTCTTCCCTTTAGTCACTTTTATGAAAAAATAAAATTATTTAAAGTACTTGTGGTTAACTTACAATAATGAAAATAGTGAAAACTGTCTGCATGGTCAGATAACATTTAAGGAACAGATGTGATGAGGACCCCCGCCACCGACCCTTCAATTATCAGTAACTGTTGCCTGCTGAAACCACGGAACAGGGAGCCTCTTGTGAGAAACTGACACTCAAAACAACAATCCAGTTGTCCACAAAAGCAACTACAATTTGCATTATATAATTAAAGCAGTTTCAATTTATAATAATTTGCAAAAGCAAATATATAATAGCAAAAGCCAACTCTTACATAGCTCATTATAACACCAGTCAATGTGGCTGGTGAGCTCGCTGGGGGACATTCAACAAAGCCAAATGCCAGGTCCTGCACTTGGGTCACAACAACCCCAGACAGGCTGGGGGCAGAGTGGCTGGGAAGAAGCCCGGCAGAAAACAACCTGGGTGTGCTGGTCCTTAGTGGCTGAACAAGAGCCAGCTGTGCCCAGGTGGGCAACGGGGCCAATGGCATCCTGGCCTGTGTCAGCAATAGTGTGGCCAGCAGCACCAGGGCAGGGACTGTCCCACTCTACTTGACCCTGGTGAGGCCACACCTCAAATCTCAAATCCTGTGTTCAGTTTTTGGGCCCCTAAAATCAGGAAGGACGTGGAGGTGCTGGAGCTGGTCCAGAGCTGGGGAAAGGTCAGGAGCACAGCTGCTGTGCGGAGCTGCTGAGGGAGATGGGGCTGTTTAGTCCAGAGAAAAGGAGGCTCACGGGTGACCCTACCCCTCTATGGAACTGCCTGAAACGAGGGCGTAGCCAGGGCGGGGTCGAGACCTTCTCCCTGGCAACAAGTGACAGGAGCTCCACCCAGGGAGGTTTAGGTTAGACAGCAGTTCTATCATTCTGTGAAAGGTGAACACGGGGCTAGGCAGGGATGCAGGATAGCGCCTTTCCCATAGTGAAAGCCCTCGGGAAATGGCTGCCCGACGCGGCCGTACCTGGCACAGGTATCGAAGCCGGGTATCGGGTCCATGACCCCGGAACGCCCGAACGCGCGGCGCCGCCCCGCCCGCGCCTCCCCTATGACGTAAGGGGGCAGCAGCGGCGCCCCTTCCCGCCTGCCGCGCGAGGGCGGCAGCCAATCAGCGCCGCGCGGGCAGGCGGGGCGGAGCGTCGGCTGACGCCACCGCGCATGCTCCGTGCTCCGGCCGGGCACGCTCACTTCCGCGCGGGACAGTTGAGGGTGGGGGAGGGGGCGGTGGGAGTCACGGCTGGCTCGGGCCGGGCCGCGCCGCGAGCGGGCGGTAAGTGCCACAGCGGGCACGCGGGCGGGGGGAGCGCGGGGCCTCCTCAGCGCCGGTCACGCAGCGCCGCTCTCCCCGCAGGGTCAGGGAGTGGACCCTGCCGGGTCTCGGGCTGAGCGGGGGGGGCCGCGAGGCGGCGCCGGGACCTCCGTGAGGGCCCGAGGAGGTGCTGGGAATAAATTCTTTACTTGTGAGAGTGGCGAGGCACCGGCACGGGCCGTCCAGAAAAGCTATGGCTACCTGATCTCTGGCGGTGTGTGAGGCCGGGTTGGATGGAGCTCTGAGCAGCCCGGTGTAGCGAAAGGTGCCCTGCCCGCGGCTGGGGGGTTCGAACGAGATGTGATCACAAGTGAAAGGCGATCAAAAAGATAGCTTTCTTTATTCGTTCTCGTTCCTTGAGAAATCTGGATGGTTTTGTTCTGTAATGACGTGGGGAGAATGGGGGAGTGAATGTTGGTCATTTTTAGATACCACATATCCTGCCGTGCTTCTTTCCTCTCAAAGCACAAATGAGGGACACAGTGAGTATGTGGTAACAGGTGTGTGATTTCTTTCTTTCTTCCTACTTCTATAGATCCAATCTTGCACTGCGCTGGAAGGAAGAGGAGAGCAGAGCGGGAGCTGGGGCAGTGGGTTTCAGTAGCGTGCTGGAAGTCAGGGGACTCGGGTTCTTTTCCTTACTGCCCTCTGGATATACTAAGAGATTCTGTGCCTTAGCCTTCTCCTGTGTAAAAGATGAATATTTACAAGGATGCTTTCAGAACTGGGTCTGGAGAGCAAGTTCTTAGACACACTGGTAATGTTTCAGCAGGATTGAAAGTGGCGCAAGCCCTGCGCTCTTGCCAGCACTGTTCTCACTTTTTACTTTCTGTTTCCTTTCTCGTTTTCCTCCCTTTAGTCACTATTATGTGTCCACGCTTCAGCGGGGATTCCGGGGATATTTCTAGGTCTCAAAGAGACATGAGCAGTCGATGGTTGCTAGAAAGGTATTTATTGTATAAAAGCATCAGTCTCAAAGGCAAAGAATTTAGAAACTTAAAGGCTTTACTAAAAGCTTTGGCATAAAATCCCAAGTTCTGAGCAGCAACTCTCTGGTATAAAAGTCCCGATGTTCGGGGCAGCAGCTTCACAACGTGGCATTCTGTTGTCCTTGTTGTCCTGGGCCACAGAAGCAGTTGGTGATGATGATGATGGAGCTGCTGTTCTTCTTCCATCGATGTTCTTTCTCTGATCTTCAATGCAGGGGATTAAATTCATAAATCATCATATCAACTAAAAACACGCTTCTAAAACAATACTTTCTACACCAATTTGAACTTAATTCTCACATGTGAAAGCAGCGTTCTTTTTACCTAAATCTTACGTATAGGGTATTATCTGTTTACATGAATAATCCTATCTCTTCTTATCCAAGAACGCAAAGTATATTTTCATTATGTCTAGAGCTAAGTTGAATCTGTGAAGGGTATTATCACTGAACTTTAAACTGGGTAATAAGGCTTTTCACTAGCTAACAGGGACTGACTCTTAGGGCACTTAAGCTATACTTTTACCTACTTAAAACTGAAACCTACACTTTTACTCTATATCTATGGTTTAATATATTTTAATTCTTTTCTCTCTCTGAGGAGCTCAGAGAGGCTTTTATTTTGGATTCCAGCAATTATGAAAAAATAAAAAAACAAAACCAACAGCCCTGCTTTTAGGAAATGGCACAGGTAGAGGAGAAGTGGCCTGGTGTGACTGTTCTCTCAGCTGCTGCTCTGCCTTCTGTTTTGCAGCGTCATTTGTTCTGTCATGAGCAGAGGGCAGCAGAAGGCCCCCCCAAATCTTACAGCTAAATTAGGCCCCCTGGGTTCCCTGTGGTGGTGACAGTGGAAACAAAGGGTTGCAGAAGGGCTTTGGGACAGTAAGGGAATGACTAAAACAGCAGGTGAAGATCCAGCATTGATAAGTGGCAGATGATAGATGTGGCAGAGAAACAACCATAACGCTGATGCTCTCCCTACTTAATCTAATTCCACTTGAGAAAGAGATCTGGGGAATTGTAATACTCCGTACTACTGGTCTAGTTGACAGGGTGTTGTTGGGTCATTGTTTGGACGTGATTATCTCAGAGGTCTTTCCCAACCTAGTTGATTCTGTGACAAGTTTGTGACTCTCACTGAAAGGCATCCCTTCTAGGAGAGCCAGGAGGACAAACCTGTGAATCTGTCCCTATGGTTTCTGCGTCGAATTCTCACCTTCCAGTTAGGTGCAAATCAGGGTACTTTTGTACCTTCCATTGTTTGTGGTCGCATTGCACAGAATGCCCCGGAGGTGCAATTGGTGCAAAACATTTCCCTTAAAGCAAGGGCTAGAACAAAGCCACACGGCTCCCAAGCTGCCTCACATTCCTCCCCAGACCCGTGGCAGCACGAACCACCAGCCCTCCATCCAGTTTTGTCTGCTCTGATCACCGTGGGCCCCATGTTGAGCTTTGTGGTTTTTTTCACTGCTTTATGATTCTAACAGTAGTTCTCTGGAAGTGTCAGCTCTGCACTCAGAAGCAGGCTAAAATGTGATTGGAATAGTGAGAATTATTAAGGAAAGAGGAAAAATAGAGTGATCTTGTGACTTCGTAGTATAAATGGTAACCCATCGCTTTGGAGGTGGTTTGTTCCTCTTCGAGTGTAGCCAGAGGAGTAGAGAAGTGACAGAGGTGAAAAAAACTGCAGACCAGCTTCTGTACAAAGAAGAGCAAAATAGTTTCAGATTGCTCAACTTTAAAAAGAGACAGCAGGAGAAATAGTAACAGAACAGTGCTGTCATGAGTGCTACTGAAAGAGAAGAGCAAGGATTTCTTGCCTTTTCAGACAGATCCAAGGGTGTCAGCTGGAATCCCTGAGTGGGAGGCTTAAGCCCTGCAAAAGCAAGGCATTGTTTAGATAAAATGTAATTGAACTGTGAAACTGGAAACCTGCCCTTAGCCTCTCCCTTCTTGCGCAGGAGCAGCCAGCCAGCTCCTCCATATCCTCTTCCTGGTAGTACTCTGTAGCAGAAACTTGGGAAGAGCACAAGTTCTTGTGGGGGTGTGTTGGGTTTGCATGGCCAGGTTTGGGTGATGGAGGAGCTACAGGGATGGCTTCAGTGAGAAGCTGCCGGAAGCTTCCCCCGTGTCCAGCAGAGCCAGTGTCAGAACTGACCCTCTGCTGGCCAAAGCTGAGCCCAGCAGGAATGATAGTAATGCCTCTGTGGTAACACATTTAAGAAGGAGAGAAAAAAAGTTATTGGACAGATACAGTTGTGGGCAGAGAGGAGTGGGGTGGGAATGTGTGAGAGGAGCAACACTGCAGACACTGAGGTCAGTAGAGAAGAAGGGGCAGGAGATGCTTCAGGTGCCAGAGCTGGGATTCTCCTGCAGCCCCTGGTGCAGACCATGGGGAGGCAGCTGTGCCCCTGCAGCCCATGGAGTTTCATGGAGATGCAGCGATCCACCTGCAGCTTGTGGAGGAGGTGGATGCCTGAGAGAGGGCTGTGGCCCTGTGGGAGGTCCATGCTGGAGCAGGTTTCCTGGTAGGACTTGTGACCCTTGGGGGGACCCATATTGGAGCAGGCTGTGCCTGAAGGACTTCACTCCAAGGGAGAGTGACCTATGTTGGAGCGATTCATGGAGAACTTTTGTTCATGGGATAGACTCACGGAGAAGTTTGTGGAGGACTGTCTCTGGTGGGTGGGACCCCAACACTGGATCAGGGCAAGGGCTACTTGAGTGTGGCAGGAGCAATGAGTGATGGGCTGACTGTAATCCCCATTCCCCACCTCCCTGTTCCTCTTGGGGGAAGGAGGTAGAGTTTGGAAAGAAGGGACAGGTGAGGGCAAGGTGGTTTTAAAATTTATTTTACTTCTCATTATCCTGCTCTGATTTTTTTAGTAATAAATTCAGTTAACTATCCCCAAGCTGAGTCTGCTTTGCTTGTAATGGTATTTGGTGAGGCATCTCTCCCTGTCCTTAACCCCATGAATCCTTCGTTATATTTTCTTTCTCCACCCAGTTGTGGAGAGGAGTGATAGAGTGGCTTGGGGGACTGCCTGGCATCCAGACAGGGCCAACCTGCCACAGGGGGCCAGGGTATGGGGCTAAACAGGGCAGTAGGTGCAGGCTGGCTGCTTCTGCACAGAGGAATGGCCAAGAGCTGTACTTCCACTGCTTCAGGATCCCTACGAAAGTGCTGGAGTAACCCCAAAGCTGACCTTGACAAGTGTCTTCTTTTCTCCATCAGCACCAGGATTTCTCCGGAGCCTGTAAGAACACCAGGGACTGTAGACTCTGCCTTTAGCCCCTTCCTTAAAAAATTCCTGGACCTGGATCCTCTGACTGGGCCTGAGCAGGGCCTATGTGTCTGCATCAATTCCAGGTATTTGTTTGCTGCAGAGAGCTTTTCCTGTATTCTAGGCCATTCAAACTCTAGCTTGTTCTTCTTTGGAATTTATTTCTTTTCTATTCTAGTTCTAATATGTCTTTGTGTTTCTGTTTGTTTCTATTGTGTTTGTTTATTGCTCAAGTTAAGAAACTGATATGATAGTCAGTGTATAGATGGGTATTGGAAATCAGTTTCTACCCTGCCTTGCTTACAAGACATAGAAGCACAGAAGTGAAAAAGAACTCCAGCTGTGTGCAAAGGCAAAGTGACTTGTGATTATAAGTAAGTTGTCACTAGTGTGAGCCAGAGGAGAGAAAACATAAAACATCTTCTTCTACTCTGGTGGTGTTTTCACTTGGGGCTACCCAGTCTGTTTTAGGCAAGGGAGATGGGAGCTAATGAAAACAGTTTGTTGAAACCCAGAAAAAGGTTGCAGGATTTGTTGGACTATGAGATTTCCTGCCTATTTTTTACTTGGGCCTTACTACCTCTCACTAGAATAATTCGACTTCAGATCCTCCTATTTCTTGAAAGTAAATGCAGATTTTTCTTCCCCCTTCTCATACAGGAGTTTGTGCTGTCAGAGGTTACATCTCCAGCAGAGGACAGTTTGGAGAATCGCACCTCGTAGGAGTGGGAAGTTGTTGAAGATTTCTGTGGTGGACTTCCACAAAAAACAAAGTAAAATTTCTGCTGCAAATGTTGTGGGGTGGTGCTCTAAACTGCTGGTGAGGGATGCATGTAAAGGCTTGTGCAGAAACATTTAGACTGCTTTTGTGAAGTAAGTAGCTGGCCTCAGAATTTTGCAGCTGCTGGAGAAAGGCTGTGTGAAGAGCAATTAAGACTTGAGTGGATATGGCCAGGAAAAGATAACAGGTGTCCCTGGGGCAATTTTCCCCTCGGGGAAAATTCTGTCACTTCTGTTAGCATTTCATCTTGTTGAGAGAGAATGTTTGAATCTCTCATTTTTGATTATTTTCTTGTGCCTCAATTTACTTGTAGACCTCTCCACACTGCTGCATCCTTCTTACAATAAGAAATTAGCATTTCTTCCTTGTTTTCTGTGAACTCCTGGAAGGCACTGGCAGAGCTTGGGGGCTGCTGTTTTCGGTTCTTTGTTGACTTGCAGACCCACACGTGGCAGCAGTAGGTTAAGAAAACACAAGTGATTGCCCTTCTCCAGTTATAAATGAGTTTCATACCTTAGGGCATGACTTGCTGGGCTGCTCTTGGCAGCAGATCTTGGCTGATCTGTTTTTGGAGCAGATATTGCCAAGCAAGCTTGAAAACTTTTGTATTACCCCTTATGACTTGTTAGTGACTTTCTAAGAGGAGATAAACCACTCTTTCTCCTGCTTTAATTGCTGGACCTCCTTATCTGATTTCCATCCCACTGCTATGCCAAGAGCGGGCTTTGCCTGTTCTACCGGTTGTTGTTACTGGAGGAGGAAAGCACCAAGGGTCCGGAATGTAGGTGAAAGAGCAGTCAGAGGGCAGGTGTTGGCAGGCTCTGCTTTCTTCTGTCCTGCTTGACCTGTGGAAGTTGTCAATTGCTTTGTGTTTTGTCCCAGTTTTCCTGCTCCAGGTGCTTTCTGGATAATGGCGAAGATGGTGAGAAGAAGATGTGCATTTTGTTCAGAAGGGGAGGCTGGCTCTGTGATGTATATCGCCACAGAGAGAGATATTGCAGCTCATCAGGATTGTCTGGTGAGTGCCTTTAGCTGGTCAATACTGAAGAGAAGTGGAAAAGGGATAAAGGGGGAAGTTTCCACTGCTTACCTGTTTTTTGATTTTGCCATGATGTCTGGATTGAAAGGCTGGTTACTCAAACCAGCAAGTTTATATTAGATGAAAAGCTGTGAAACGGAAAAGCGATTTGGCCAGGATTCTGTAGTGGGAGAGGATGTGTCTGCACACCCAGAGCTGTTGATTTGTGATGTTTTCATGGATGTCTGTTGCTGATCAGTGGTCCCAGACACACATGAAAACACCACAAAGACCACATATGGCCTAGCAACAGGAATAGGTCTTCCTGAGACACTGTTGAGACTCATCCTCTTGGATGAGGGTTCTCAGACCACAGAAGGTTGTGTACTTAAATCTTTGCAGGAAAATATCTATACCTCTTGATGGTTAAAAAACTTTCCAGTGTGTGCCTTATTTAAAATAAGAAATAAAAATATCAGAAGTTGATAATATAAAAAAATCTGTGAAGCTCTAAGTGTGTTGTGATCCTTCTACTCTCTTGCCTCCCCTTTATTCTGGAATGTTGGTGAATCTGGTTCTTGGTGTGCAGAATCAATTATAGCTCCTGTATTCTTCCTTCAGCAGAGGTAGAATGTAGCTGAGGGCCATTTAGTGCCAGAGATTGCTGCTAGAGCAACTTTCTGTCACTGTCCCAGCCTTATTCTTAAAATTATTACATCTACATTGTTATTTTTCTGATATCTTTTATGGCTGGTTATTTTTTTAACAGAATGTTTCACAATGATGTTTTTTTACAGCACTTGAATGTTCTGTTTGGAACAGGTTTTATTACGGCTTTAATTCTCTGGTTTTTTTCTTTTCTTCCTCTTTTCTTTCTTCTTCCATCAACTTTACTCATTTCTCTGCCTTAGACTTGTTTGCACTGTTTGGGGTTTTTTTTGCAGTCAGCTATCACCTTCTGAGCAGACAGACTGTGCCTGCTAGATGATGAAAGGGTAGCTCCCTTTTGTTTGGAATTTGCTACATATAATGCTTAGGAAATAATTGCCAGGAACTTCCCTTTCCTCAGTCATTGTCATGGCTCAGTAGTTCTGTGGGAATTAAAGTGGCTTGAGTGTGCACGTGTGTATTTTTAGGGGGTTTCTCCCAGGATGTGTACAACGTTTCTGGTTTTTTCCTGCAGTCAGCTGTTGTCAGCAATGGGCTATGTGGAAATCTTATTACAGAGAAATGTTACATCCAGCTGTAGGTCTGAACAACTGAGCACATAATAAAATGTCCAAGGTGTGGAGGTCTGTTGCTTGAAGATCTTCTCATCCTACCTCTGGGCACCCTGGAATTTCAGATTTTCTTTGTTCATGTTTTTAATCAGTTAACTTTTTCACCTTACTATCTTTTCTTAGTTTGCCTTCAGATTATGTGAAATCTCCTATGTGGAAGGAGAAACTTCTTTTGACTGCAGAAATTTCTAAGCACAGCTCCTTGTTTAGTGTAGGTGGAACCTCTTGAAGATAGAGAAAAAGCAGCCTCATTATGTAGGGCAAGAAAAGATGTATTCCTTGTCTCTTTTTTGCACTGGTGACTGAGTCATTCTTATTTCTTAAAATTGTCTCTTTTGTTTTTAGTTATTTTCCTCAGGATTTGTGGAATCTGAAGATCATAACCCAGAAAATCTGGAAATAAGGTTTGATGTGTCATCGGTGTTAAAAGAGCTCAGGAGAGGAAAGCGGCTGGTAAGGAAATGTTTCTGAATATGCGTTAGTCCTGTCTCATAGTATTGAAGGCTGTCTGGCTTTCATTATAATAATGAAAAAAATTCATTAAAGTAGCTGGTCCTTCTGATATAGTAAGATTACGGAAATGAGAGGTTTAGTGTTGGAGTCGTTGATTTAATATTTGGTTTGGTGAAATTTAGTTACACCTGCATTTTAATACAGAATTTTTTTTTTCTGGCCCTTATGTCCTCAGTCAGTTTCCTGAGACTTTGGTAAAGAAGGAAGCCAGTGCCTGAAACAAAAGAATGTGATCCACAATCAAAGGAGAGCACCTTCTGAGTTTAGCAGAAATAAGATTATTTAAATGAGACTTTTTTTAATTGCCTTTGTCTTCAGCTGCTCTCCTCCCCTACGTCCTGGGTGGAACTCTTTTCATTATGAAGTTAGCCTAGAAAACATAAATACAAACATTAACACTAATTAATGTTAAAATAACTTGGGCAAGTTGCTCAGTGCTCTCACATGGCTCTTTGACTCATTTTACAAATTTATCAATATGAAATAGAGGTGAGATAGCAAAAGGGTGGCGGAAATAATGACCAGGGTAGGAGTTTGCAGGAGTGAATTTGCCCGATGAATTACACAGAGGTGATTTGCAATGGAATACTAGCTTTTCCCACAGAGAGTGGCATTTGCCCTGCCTGGCAGGATTTGGAGTAGCTGCCTGTGACGTTTACCTGGTGAAACCCCTCCTGTTGTAGGTGTGCAACTTCTGTCGCAAGAAGGGGGCCACAGTGGGCTGTGAGGAGCGCACGTGCCGCAGGAGCTACCACTTCTTCTGTGCGCTCTGCGATGACGCAGCCGTGGAGACCGACCAGGTCAACGGCATCTACCGGTACTCACCGAGTGTCCTCTGTCACTGCCAGCCTCTGGGGGTGTCAACAAGAGGGACTTCCTTGGGTGGGGCTTAAGGGGATTTTAGGGAAGGAAATAAGTTCTCCTCTCCTAAAGTGATGCTTAATCCTCTGTTTACAAACTGTGGGAGAAATGTTTTCATTTCACTGCAGTGGGAGGGAATCTGTTTAGTGCTTAAGCCTGAAACATCACTGAAAGATAACAGCGCCAAATCTGAGAAAGTCAGTCCTACTGACTCTCTAGCTAATCTTCAAGAAACAAGACTTTTGTTAATGTCACTCAGATTCTAAATCCTTTCTTGGTTCAGAAGCTCCAGTAAATGTAGTCTGAGCACAGAGCAGGTTATAGCAATTCTAGGTTTGCTCACATTAGGCAGGTTTGGGTAATTTTCCCTCTCTATGCTAGGAAAGAACTTTGATTCCCACCAAAGGCCTTGTATTTTAATTATTTTGCTAGCATTAACACAATTTATTGGATTCTAAGTAAATTTTCTGTCCTGATCCTTCTAGTCCTTGTGACCACTGCCCTTGGTCTGCCTGCATGGCCACTGACAGATGGAACAAACTTTGGAGGATGCAGATGAAGGAGTTGAAAAACTGTGGCTTCAGGGACCTTTAGAAATGCTGAAGTTATAGTGATGTCTGAGGTGCATAAAAGCCCTGGTACTCATTTCTGTGCAAGGCCAGAGAGATCACAGGTCACATTAGATTAATTTGAGGATTGTCTAATCCTGCTTGTTTCAGAAAGGGGTGGACTAGTGCAGTCCTTGGTAGCAGTGGAAGATGGGTCCTTTTGTGTCAAGACACTTGCACTCCTGGCTGGTTCACAGCACTCTCTGCCTAAAATGAATGCATCTGTTCAAGGCTATAAGCCCAGCTGTGCAGGGAGGAGGTGATGCTTAATTGATGCTTATAAAACCTTTGTGAATCTGCAGAGCTCATGAAAGAGTGTAACTGGGAAGATGGAAACTTTCTATGATCGCAGAATGAATGGTTTTCATCTTACAGCTTTAGAAGGGATAACTCAGGTACAAGAAGGCTGAACTCAAGATGTTGAAAAACAAGTGGGTCTGACAGCAGTCTAGATATAAACTGGTAAAGAAGTGCTTGCATATACAGTTGGGTTTGGTGGCATTTAGGAGATGGTGACCTTGGAGGTTTGGAAGAGGGAACCTTAAAAATGCCTTGTTTTAAGTCACTGTGTGACACTGAGAGCCTAGGAAACTAGGCTATAGCAACCTGTATTGAAGAGCTGGGAAAGGACTGGATTAGAGGAAGATATTAGGACAGCTTTCAAGGATTTAAACCTGAAGACTTTTGCACAGTAGCAGTGGCATAAATAAAGCACAAAATTGTAGCTAGCTGAAATTATTGGAGAGTAGACTTGAAAAACAGTGGATGTGGATTGACAGCACCTTCACATTTTCATGGTGAAATATAACATACTAAAAAGAGAGAATTCCTTTGAGAGAGGCAGAGCCGGTTATTTTAAATTCTGAGTTGCCATTGTTGTAATGATGAGTAGTGATGATCAAAACAAATTGGGCAGAATGGAAAGAGAAAGCATATGTTGCTGTGGAAGTGGCCACAGAACAGAGAATAGAGTGGAGAAATAAGTGCAATTTGCACTCCTGTCTCGCAAAAATGATAGTAGGGAAGTGCCTCCAAATAAAGTAGCCTGAGTAGTAAAATATATTGTCTGTACTTTATAATATGTTCTTGTGCTTAGGATGGGTTGTTTTCCACTGTGAAAGACTAGAACTTAAGGGAGGGGAAGAACAAAAAACACTTTCCAAAGGGCAGTATTAGAAATTCAGGGATGTAAATAAGGTCTCTCCAGTATATTTTTCATTGCATTGTTAGGCATACCTGACTTTTTGTGCTTCAAGATGCATTTCATGCAAAAGAAGTTCCTCATCAAGGCAACAGTCTGCATTTCGAAGGACAGTGCTTCTGTTTTTGTTAAAAGAATGACAGTAATTAGAAAATGTCCTAGTAAATGCAGTTCCCTTTAAATATTGCATCAGTCTTGGCAAATAGATTTGTAAGGAAGAGATAAACTAAACCATGCTCCTGACAAGGCATTTTTGCTTAAAAAGTGACTTGGGATCCTTCTGTAAGAAAGGCACATTGTAAAAGCTAGTTCATGTTCTCTGCACAGTATTGTATCCAAAAGATAAGGAATATTTTCAGATAAATTTGTTTCATTTTGCCTCTTCCAAGGAGTTTACATTGCTCTCCTAGAACCACTGAAAATATTCCCATTTCACATATTACTGAAGTCTTTAAGTAACAAATAGACTGAGCAGCTTTAAGCTTCTGGATCTCATACAGGGTTGCCCTACTTAGTCAGGATTTGGGGGCCGTTCTGTGAGCACAGGGCAGCAGGAGAGAGGTGCACAGAGATCTCCAGTGCTGTGTGTGGTGGCATTGCCACTGTCCTGCAGGGCTGAGGAATGGAGAGTGACACTGAGCAGATGTGTCTGAGGAGGCTCCTGGCCTGCACGGGGCAGGGCCAGGGCGCAGAGCCGCAGTGGCTGTGAGGGAACAGTGTCAGGACTGTGGTGTTTCACCTTGGGAGCCTTAATCTCATTTCAGTGTCTCTGACACAGTGATTGCCACACACATGAAACAGGTCTGACTCAGGGTCTGAACGGTGGGCTGGTGTAACTGATCATTCAGAGCTTCAGTGCTGAGAGTCCATTGAAGCTCTGGAAGTACAGATACAAGGTTGTTCATGCTTTAAAGCAGGTGGTTTCTGACGTGGGTAATGCTGAACAAAAGTCCTGACTTTTTAACTGTCTTTCAGTTTATGTTATGAATAGAGGGGAAAATATCTGTTTAAATCTGTCAGCATAACTCTGCATATTTATTAATACTTCTTCTCTTTTTCTTGAAATTTAACTTAAATTTTAGAGTGTTCTGCCCAAAACATGACCCAGGGAATAGGACCAATCACTGTGGTGAGTTTCTTTAATGACATTGATTTAATTTGTTTTAAAAGTTTGCATCCTACAGTCAGTAGGTCATATGAACAAGATATTATCACCTTCATATTGAGTGGTGGACATCTAATCTTCCAGGAGTGGTTTGGTTGAGATCTGCATGTATGCACAAAAGAAATCGAGAAGGTTTTTTTGAAGTGGGAGTAGTCAAAATTAAGTTGTCCCTGAATTTCACTGAAAACTGACTTAAACCACAATGTACACAATCTTTTATGGAATCATTCTTACTCTGGGCAAGTAGGTCCAAGCAGCTTGTGAGACAGGAGAGCTGCACACAAGGTTGCACTAGATTAGCAAGGAGAGGACTGCACCTTGGGATTTTATCTGTGATTCTGCAGACTTTCACATTTGCATCTTCTGTATTCACTGCAGCAGTTTCCAAAATAGGGCCTTTCATTCTGAAGGATCCCAAAGAGCTTTTTAAGTGTAACAAAAGAGTTGTACAACCCCTGTTTAAGGATTACTTCCTGTGCTACAGAAATGCAACTTTATTTGGCAGTCCTGACCCTTCCTGATTCAGAGGTATTTGGGAATCCAAACCCCACAGCTGGATCTTGTTAGCCTAATGCATACAACTCTGCTTACAGTGAAGTGGGTTCTAGACTGGCCTTCACTTTGAATTTTAACTCATTCGTGCTGTGAGCACTTGTGCTGACAGTGGTGTGTTCCCATTGAAGTCTAGCAAATTTTGGCTAATCTTCTTGACAGAGTCTTGCTGCACTCTGATGACACTTAAGGAATGGGTTAGGTGATTATTATTTAAGCTTTTAGTCATGAGGGCTGGGGCTTCTTAGCCAGACATAGAGTCTGTTTAATATCTGATATTGCTGTGGTTCACTAACCAAATGCATCTTCTTAGTTTACTTAGTAGCTGTGCTTTCTACTTATCCATAGTTCTGAATCTTGACCTTTCTTTTCAAAATTACTTTGTTTTCTGTGGTCTAATGGTTGTCAGAGTCTGTTGGGGCTGCCCAGGTTCCCAGGTGGTCTCCTGTGCAAGTACTGGACCGGCCCAGGGTTGCTTTGTTTCCAGTACCACATAATAATCAGGCATTAGACCCAGCCCTCTAGACCACCTTGTTCATAAGGAGGACTTAAGTCTTAAAAGGTTGAATCACAAAATGCTTTGGGTTGGAAGGAACTTTGAAGATTATTTAGTTCCAGCCTCCTTGTCTTGGGCAGGCACACCTTCCACTAGACCAGGTTCTCAAAGCCCCATCCAAACTGGCCTTAAATATTTCCAGATACAGGGCATTCATAACTTCTCTGGACAAACAGTTCTAGAGTATCACCACCCTCACAGTAAGGAATTTCTCTCTGTCTAACCTAAGCCTGCTCTCTTTCAGTCTGAAGCAATCTCCCTTTGTCCTGTCACTAAATGCTGTGGTACAAAGTAATTTTCTGACTTTCTTGTAGCCCCCTTTAGATACTGGATGGTTTTTGTCTTCAAATGCTGCATATACAATGTTCCCTGAAAAGAGAGTTTTCTCCTAGAGGAGTTCTTCCAGAGGCACTTAATTTAGAGACCTTCTGTTTACGAGGGGTAAATGGATTCTGCTGGCGGTGTCTGGCCTGCCTCCTGAGCTTCTGTCACCTCCTGAGAGTAGCTGTACCCTGGGAAGTGGGAAGCAAGTGGGAGAGTTGAGTACAACACACTTGGTTCCCCAAGCCCCGTGTCTCTTGCTTCATAATTTGGAGAAAGTGGATTGCCTTATTCTTGGTTCATACAATATTCTTGTGCTGAAATGTCAGGGCTCTGCTGTGTGATTGGGAGGGGATAAGGTGCCTTATGGGCCAAGAACTCCCCTTGCAGCTCTGTGCAGCAGGGATGTGAGAGCAGCTTGGACTTGGAAACAGACTCCAACCTGTTTAACTGGAAGAGTTGAATGTGGACAGAGTAAAGACTGACAAATGCAGGAGAGCAGCTAGCACTGTGCAGGGCAGGAAGAGTTGGGCTGCTCTTCAGACTCTGCTTCTCTTGTATAAGGCATCCTTACAGCAGATACCAGGGAGAGCTCAGAAAATCCCATCATGTGTCAAAAATACCCTGCTGGACAGCAAGAAACACTTTGTACAGCAGTATCTCCCACACTGCCCCAAATTAGGCCTTACAGGTTTGTTTTGGATGAAGCGAGAGACCAGTTTCCTTTCAGGCCCTGAAAAATGCTAATGTACAGCACCAGTGCCCAAACTTGATTCCACAGCCTCTGTGTACAGCAGTGGCTCCTCATTCCTCTTGATAGGATGATTTCTAACAGGAAAGACTATTAAATGCTGCCCAGAGGTTCTGGAATTAAACAGGGAAGGGGAAGTGTAATCCCACTGTACTTTAAACATTCAGGTTTTGGTGGGTGGTTGCACTCTTCTCTGCCTTTCTCTGCTCCTGCCTTGTCTTCCTTGCCAGAGCTGTCCTTCTCTGCTTGTGATACTGTAGCTGTTTCCAAAAGCTGCCAGTTACCATGTTGGCAAGAGTCTCTGGTGCATCCTGATGAAAACAATGTAGTGAAAGCAGAGATAATTTTTCAGAGATGTCACATCACATTGCTACAAACACTTTATAGCATAAATAATGTTAAACTGACAAGTTAAATGGCTTCTGGAGGTTTTCTGGGAGGGTTCTTATGTTGATGAAAAACTTAATGCTATTTGTATGTCTTTGAGACACCTAATAATTCTTAAAGTAATCTTAGTTTTGAGGGTGTATTAACATGCGAAAAAATTGTTTGGAAAAGAAACCAAACAGTTTTTTACCACCTAGAGGTAGTGCTGCTGCTGGGAGGAATAAGTTCACTCTGCCACAATTAAAAATCTACTGAGTTGAAAAGGTTAAGTGATATTCTAATGCTGTAATGATTTGCACTTTTTCCTAATGGTTGATTCATGCTTGCAGTTTTCTTAAATGGAAACAGTGTGAATTCTGCTGAAATGTCAGGTGTTTGGGGAAGCTGAAACATACTTTTGCCTTGCCACCCAAAGCTCCTCAGTTCTGTAGCTTTTTGGGAAAAGAAGAAATTTGAATGATGTATGATGGTCAGTCTGAGGTTCTCACTTTTGTTACTTTGTTGTTTATTGATTCCTAGATGCATCAAATAAGAAAAGAAGACGTACATTGACATCTCCCACCATCACAGAAGAAATGGTAATTCTGAATTTCAGTAGTACTAAAACAGGGGACCAGGGGACCTGCTACAGCAAAGGATTTACTTATCAAAGGATTCTGACAATGTTCAGAAAGAGCCTTGGGAGCTCCCAGTAGGCATTTGTTAACTTCTCTGCTATTTGCAAATGTAATGGTTAAGGAAGGTCGTGTCCCAGGTGTTTGGCTTTTCTTAAAGGCTTTTTGCTTTGAAGCGGTTTTTGCTTCCATTTTCAAAATAGAATGTCTGGAGAGGAATATTATTAGCCATGCAGAGAAGCTGACTGTATTCTCAGAAATGTGGACTGCTTTTTATCCTTCTGCTAAGACAGAAATATGATAATGAGAACAGCAGTAAATGTCAGCATAATGTAAAAATACATTGGTTTGATTTTCTTACAGAGTACAGAAGAGACAGCAGAAGAAAACCATTTACAAATACTAAAACGAAAGAACAACAGGCATAAAGGTGAGACTCACTTTGATACAGAAAGGTTAATTCAGTTTTTTTACTGTGCCTGTGAAACTTTTAGCAGAGAAACAAGGCATGCAAACACTGCTCCTCCAGCAAGGACAGTGGGAAGATAGAAGATAAGAATGCAGTGATAGATGGGACAAAGGACTGAGTCTTTGTGAGCCTGGGGTGGGATTTATGATAATGGATAAATTGTAATATGTATGTAGGAAGTGTATATAAGCAACACACTTAATGTAGAATCGAGGTGTCAATGTAAGGTCAGGAGTACCCCTGCAGGACCTTGGGCCTGAAGAAAGGATTCCCACTTTAACACAACTTCAGTGTTGAGGAGCCTTTTTCTGATATATAGACATTTGGTAACAACTTTATGGAGCAACTAGGAAGTACTGTGATCTGTTATGTTGAAGTGCAGAGCTTGGAGATGGCTGGTAGCAAATGTTGTGCTGCAAATGTATCTTTATGATTCTCCTGAGATGAGTGGCTCTCTGTGCTCTGGCATGGCAGCAGAAGTCTGATATGTTTTAATAACTGCAACAAACAAATACCTGTGGTTTGGCTGAGTGAGACTTGCTTTGTGATGTGAGCTAGTGATTCAGATGGGAATGACCCCACTTCGGCTGGCTGCTGCATTCAGCTCCGTCTCCTGCAGACAGGGGTGCCTCTGCCTGATGCCCCTCCTCTGTATCAGTACAGTTAAATGGGAGCCCTGGAAGGTGTTAACAGAGGAGGTGCTCTGAGGAGGGGGCAGCACATCTTACCTTTGGAAGCCTGGGTGTACACAGGGTGCTTAGCACAATGAAGTGTTTTATTGCATACGTGTGGTGTTACAACAATGAGATGGACCACGGGATTCAGTGCTGCAGTTTTCATGTTACCCTGAAGCTCCAGCTGCAGTTGCTTGTTCTGCTGGCACTTGGAAGTCTGGAATGTGCTAGTGGTGATTATTCACCTCACTATGGATATGTTTAATGTATGGGCATGGTATTGCAAGTGGCTGCCTAGTGTTTTTTCTGAATTTCACTACCACTGTAAAGAACAGGAGACGTATGAAAAATCCTGAAATACTCATAGAGCATCTCATGTAAATGAGACGGCATTTCTTTCCTCACAAATGTCTCCAGTAAAATGTAACCTTATTTTTAATGGACTTTAGTTTTTTGTAATTGACTTAATGTTTTTAAGGGCAGACTTTTGTGAGCCCTCCAATAGCTCTTTGCTTTTGAACAGCCCATTGCACTGATCTTACTAAAACATGTCACTGACCTGTTGCTCTGAGATAAGTAAAAAATGGTTATTTATCCATCAATCCAAATCTGACAAAGTAGGTATGTAAAATGGGCTGTAAAAAAAAAGTTTAGTTGCCTGGATCACTTGGAGTAAAAGTAGCCTCAATTTTTACCAAATCTAATACTGATTCATTTCTTGCACTGTTTTCTGTGCTTTAGCCTGCTTAGTCCATGGTGTGGTCCTCAGGATTGGTGGCAATGCAAGCAAGACACTAGGGGGTATCATGAGCTTTAGGAATGGCACATTTAGAGTTGTGGAGCTGTTTGCTTGTGATGAATGAGAAGCCAGATCTAGAGCTTAGGGAATTTCACACCCAGCACAGTACTTATGTTTGCCTGGCTTCGTTTTTGTTCCCACTGAAAAGGGCTGTGTGGGTGGCTGGAGGAGCCAGAGATCTGCAAAAGTATTTGTTACTGGTGGACGGGCTTTGGCTGAAGTTTCAGCTTCTGAAGAGAGGGAACAAAGCCCACTTTACAGATCACTTCTGTATGAGACTGCTTTTGTGTTTTTACAGTTCGAATAGACTTTGTTAGGAAGTGCAAACAAGCTGGGCTTCTGGATGACATATTTGAAGAAATGCTGGACACACTTCACCTGGCTCAGGAAAAACTGATGGATGACAACACTTCAGAAACAGGTATGTTTCAGGGGGACCCATGGCAGGGACTCAGCTCTCAGAGCAGAGGTGCAGATCTGAATCCCAGGCACTTGGCTCTGGGTCACCTTCCTGAGGATACCATGGTGCTAAATAACTCAGTTATTTTTGCAGCTGTGCAGGAGGTTGAGAATGACCTTCCCTTTTGAGTGACCACTTACGATGAAAGTTCCGAGGAACTTCTTTCTCAAAATTATGTAAGAGCTGCCAACTCAGTATCTCTAGTGAGACCTTCTGACTTGAATTCTTGAAGCCACCTTTTACAAGTTGGAATAAGCATAGAAAGGTTCAATCCAGCCTCTTCTCCCAGGAACAGAGAGGTCCTGAAGAGAACCAGGTTTTATTTAAGTCATAAGTCTGTGTTGCTCTTGCAGCTTCACAGAGGGGACCAGCTGTCTGTTAATATCAGCACTCTCTTCTAAAAATCCCCAAGTATGTACATTTTGAGGCTTTGGATGATTTGTTACTACTGTACTGTCAGCTGTTAGTGTCTCTTCGGGGTTTTTATGGGTTTATCACCTTTTATGAAGTCCTGTGTTTTTAAGGAATTCCAGTCTAATGTTGCTTTGTCCACAACATAATTAAAGAAAATTTCAAGCCTTCCTCTCCTATCGTCCTCCAGTTTTTCAAAGTTAGGAGTAATACCTTTGCATAAAGAATGCTATTTTATGTAAAGTAGCACACGTGTGGAAAGTGAAATGTCCCACCTGGTAAGTCTTGCTTCACGATCAGCTTGTGTGTCAATGGTCAGTTGAACTCTGTGACTGTTTTGTATTTTGCTTCAGCAGAAGCCTTAGGCATGAAACTGAGGTGTAATTCTTGGATGTTTCTTAACAGCAAACAGGGATATCTTAGTGCCACACATGATCTGTCAGGAGGAGTTGGTGCAGTCAGCCCTGCCATCACACAGTCCTGGCACACTGAAGTGAAGTATGACTTAAGTACATTTCTCTTTAAATGCACTGTTCATGTGGTGTAGACCCAAAAAGGGAGTAATTTTCTGTCTGAAACTAAAAAGAATTGACAACTTGATCCTTCTTTCTCAATACAGATTATATGAGAAGGAAGACATCTTAAAACCTCAAGTAGTCAGTATGATGGAAAAGAAGTAATTACTGTTTTGTGGTACTTCTAATGTAGGGGTCTGTAAACCTTTACTCAGTAGTTTTACAGCAAGTTATCTCTTTCCCCAGAGTATGAAGAGACAGTGATGGCACTGTTTGACTGTGGACTGTTTGAAAATATACTGACAAATATTCATTCAGGTATGTGCAGAAGAGCTGTCAGAGCAGCAATTGCTCTGGGGTTTGGCATTGAAGTTATTCTAATGAGAATTTTGATAGAAGAGTCATTTTAAATGAAAATTCCAAGGAACTTTTTTTTTCTCAGTGTTATATAAACAGTCAAATAAAAGCCATGGCTAGCTGAATCTTTAGAAATAAAGTATATCAGATTTGGCTGGCTGACCTGAAGCAGGGAGCGACTCACAGTTCCACAGCTTTAAACGGCCAAAGGGTCTCCACCCCAGGGGAACTCCCTTCTCCTGCAGCTTCTTTGGGTTCCTTGTCCACCACCTCCCTTCAGCAGCTTACCAGTGTTGCAGCTCTGCTGCTGGCTGACAAGTGCTGGTCAGAGTAATGCTTTCTGCTGAAACACAGCAACTAAAGGCCAGTAGAACTCACCTGGACTGGGGGCAGGGGGGGCAATTGTGCTTTGAAAAACCAGACAAGGATGCTCAGTGATATGAAAACAAAGGCAGGAACAGCTGCTTGGGAGCACCAGTGTGGAAGGAAACTGTTTGAAGCAACAAGGCTGAAGCTGTTTTCAGACAGGCAAGTCTCATGCTTCCCATTTCCCTCTCCAACAGTTGTTCCAACTTTTGCTTTAATTTAGTCTGGTGAAAAGGGTTTTAATTAGCTAATGTTGAGGTTTGGTATGTGAAGACGATATTTGCTGTTTCCCTTTCACTTGACTGCAAAAGCCAGGCTCCTCCCTTCAGTCTCCTGTTCTTGCATTTAAATTTCTTTTTCAGCAGTTGGAGTGTCCAGTGTTGCAGTTATCTGACACAAGGTTCCACCAGTGCCTGAGCTGAGGACATTAAAACATCTCTGCTCAGAATTCCTCATGTGACACAACCTTGGATCACACTTGTTTCTTTCACTGCTGCATCAATTATTTCATCCTCTTCTCAGCTTACAGGAAAATCTCTTGATATTGGCACCTCTCTGAACACACCATGTGATTCTCATGGGTACTAGTTGTCCCCTCTCCAAATCCCCACAACTCTAGCAGCTCAATTCTTCCTGTACCACACAATCTCCTTTTCTGAGACCTTTTAAATTTCAACATCAATAATGAGGTTGGTTCCAAAACTGAGCCAAGAGGAGCTCTTAAAATGAAGCAGTGAGAAAGGAATGAAAACCCTGTTAATTACAGGTTAAACAGCAGAGAAGGAAGAAAATCACCAGCTGCTTTTTTTTTTTTTTCACTCTTCTTTTTTCATTATTGCTACTGTTGTCATAATTGCTTACAAGCTCTAGCTAGCACGTCTCTGTGGTGACATACTAAGTCAAGAGACTACATAAAGTAGGACTGGTATAAATACTGTGTCTCAAGCTGATGGTTTTGGGTCATTTGCCATGCTTTAACTTCAGTCCTTTTAAATCATGATACAAAACCTGTTCTAAAGCCTTACATGCCAGCACAACATTCCAAACTGGAACTGTTGAAAGGGCTTTTTAAAATCCCTTTTATATACAGGGATCCACACTCCTTTTGCAGTGTGCAGCTTTTACTGCAGACTTGACTGCATGTAAAACCTTCCACACAGGATATGCTGTTGCCTCAGCAGCAGTTTCAGATTTCTAGGTTGGAGGTTTCTTTTCCTCTACTCCAAGGAGAACCAACTTTTAGTTTTGCTTTCAAATTCTGTTGTGTGTCCTGCTTGGGCAGGATGCCTCTATCAGCTTCCCTCTCCTGTGTGCTGGTCAGCAGTCTGGCCAGGAGCTTTTGAGCTCCTTGACAGCATTTGTTTTCAGGGGGTTTGTAGCAGCAAATTCTGCAATTCAGATAAAGGTGTTGGAGACAAAGGCCACGATAATTAATTTTAAAACTGTCATGCAGTTCCTTCACCGAGAATCCGTTAGCACTTTGGGGCAGTCATTCCAGGTCCATGGCCCTCAGCCCATCCCTGATTTTACAGAAATACATTTTCTTTCCCTTCAGGCCATTTCCTCTATGAGGTGGAAGGCTTCCAATCAGTTACCTGCCTTCCTGTGGAAGCACTTCTGTAGGCCAGCCATTCCCATCACTGGCATCTTTGGGCTAGTTCTATTTTTGCCACATCCTTTTGGCAGCAAACTGAGCTGTGTGTTCAAGCTGTGTTTGTTCCATCTGTAGCTCTCCCAAATGCTGAATCAACAGGCTCACAGTGTTCCAAGTTGGAAGGGACCTGCAAGGATCACTGAGTCCAGCTCTTAAGTGGCCTGTATGGGGATTGAACCCATAATCATGGCATTATTTAGCACTATGCTCTAACCAACCGAGCTGCTTTCTTTATTTCTGATGACTAATTCATATCCAGATTCTCTCTAAGAGTTTTTTTTTTTCCCTGGTTCCACTTGTATATGTCCAACTTCTTTGAGTAAGTGTCATCTGAGTGCAGAGGGACGGGACATCTCATTTTCATTCAGAGGTAGGCTGGGGCACCAGCTCCCTCTTCAGTGAATGCTACCAGAATTTCCCATGGGCAGCAGGCACCAACATTGCTCTGGCTGCCTGTTTTCAACACCTACACCCAGCTTTGGGTAATGTATTTAAAAACATGTCCATGTCCATCACCTTCCACATCCACCCACAGACAGCAGGTGCTGTGCTGTCTGTGCTTTCTGACTACAGAGGAAGAAGCAAGCAGCAGGGAAGCAAAAGGCCAAAGTACTTTTTTATGTTGTTGTTTGTTTGTTTTGTGGTTTTTGGTTTGATTTTTTTACAAAGCTCTCTTATTCTGAATGGCATAGGGTAAACATCTGGAGAGAATTTCTCCACTCTACTCACTGAAACTTTAGAGACATCCTTCAACATCTGCTCCCCTAGAACAGGAAAAATATATTCAGTTTGTACAAAATGCCACCTTCTTACTAGAATCTGAACTCTCAACATTCTCACACACTGAGAAAGTCATTTGTTGTTCACAGACCAACCTGGCTGCACAGAGGTCACCAACACCTCTGTGTGTCCTGTTAACTGAATAAAGCAGGTGCTTCATTTAAAACTTGCAATTAAATAACTGTAAGGTTGTGGTAATGCTTCTGAATACTGGCATAGTTCCTTTCTGAGCTCTCACTGACTTCATAATCTTTAACATTAGGGAAATGGAAGCAGCAGAGGGAAGCAGAAATGCAGTCAAGCAGGGCTTTGCAAATAAGGTAAACAACTTGGTTAATCCCATCAGGATACTGTCAATAATGATTTTGCCAGAAGAAGGAGAATAAGTGCTGTTGAATTGTGTTTTTGAGAATCGAGTTGTTGAATGCAGTTGTCTAAACCATCTCTTTTTAGGTTTAATTTTGTTGTTAGCTAAAATCCATTAGCCTTGTAAATTTGCTTTAGAGTGTCATTTAGAGATGTTAGCTTTAAAGATTTAAAAGACATCATTGTTGGAGGAGCTCTCACACAAATGGGCTCTGAAAACAGAACTGTTAAAAGCTCATATGCCAGTTAACACAGGGGGTTAGTAGCTAAACTAGTAATTTTTATATATGCTGAGATGTTTCAAATTTTATCTCAAAATTAGCTGTTATAGATTTCAGCATATGGATAGCAGAGTATGTGACTCCTGCTCTGTTTTCTCTGACACACCAGCCAGGCTCTCAGCAGACAGGGTTCAATTCTTTGTGAAGAGACCAGGTGTGCAGGGTCACAGACATTGCTGTAGAAAGGAAAAGCTTTTAGTGTAGGTTAAACCAAGCATCATGAGCTCTGCAGAGTTAATCAAGACGTAACATGTTTTATATTAGTAATACTTATGTATAATAATAAAATATTCTTATCCCTTAATAAGAAAAGCTTTTTACCCCTTTTTTGTAATAGGAACAGAAGAAAAAATCCAGAAACTTCTGGAAAACAGAAAAAGACTGGATCACAAGATTGAGCTACTGCAGGATGTAAAAGAAGTCATCCTTCCTACTCCAGAGAACACGGCCAGTACGTCAAGTACAATGTCTGAATAACCCCTGTCTGTGATGGTGCAAGAGTTAAGATTTTCTAATGATAAAAACCATAGAGCAGTCAGGTCAGTGCTCAGTTCCCCAGCTGCGAGCAGGGGCTGAATGGGTGCAAGAATGAAGTGTTATTTTTATACCTCACTGTTGCAATAATTTAAAGTTCTTCAAGTGTTCAAATCTTCATCTTCAAATTTTTCCCTGATTTCACTATAAATTTTCATTTGTATTCCACAATGGAATATAAATGAATGTTTTAAAGTAAATTTAGCTTTTACAAACACTCAAGAACACCCTCCAGTGAAGACCTTTTTCTCAAAGCCAAGGCAGTGTTCAGCTGCCACAGAACACTTGCTAAAGTCACTTTAACTGTGGGAGCCGGTTCTTGGCTGGGCTCTAGACCATGATGTTTGAAGGACCATAGTGCTGCTTTGGCTTTCCCAAAAAATATAAATGAGCAGAAGTTGCACTCAAGGAAGCCTTCTGGATTATAAACAGGAGTTTAATTTTAAAAGCCCAGTTTTTCTTTATTGACTGGTCAAGGTGTAGCTGTTTCTGCTGTGATGGCAGTGGTAAAGCAATGTTTGCAGGCAGACCAGAGAGGGTAGGGCATTAGACTCAGAAAACATAAAATGTAAAATTGAGAAAAACAGTGACTGGATCTTCCTTTCACTATTAAGAAAGGGTTCAACTTTCATATATTGTTTGAATACAGCAAAGCATTGTTTAGCCACAACAGAATAAATATATAAAATAAAACATTTTCTAAAGGAGCTGTGTGTGGAGTTGTGCTCCCTGTCCCTGGTGCTGCACAGGATTTGGCCAAGAAGGGGGAGTGCTGTCAGACTATGCTTTACCCAGCCTTTGGCTGAGGAACGAGCAGAGCACTGGCAAACACCACTTGGCGTGACACCAGTGAGATCCTGTTACAACAGCTGTATTCGGAATTCCTCACTTGAGCTTGTTCTGTGGGATGATGGGGATTGATAAGCAAAGAATAATAGCATTCAAAAATGAGCTCTTGAACTATAAGATGTGCATGATTCAATAAAATAATAGTAATTTTAAGTGCTTACACAGTTCAAGTCTGCTGCCCTTCTGGGCCTAGAACCATCACCAGTTTACTGCCCAAGCTCAGGACTTGAGTACCACTCAGCCTAAAAAAACGCCCACCTAAGCCAAAAATGCATTAACAAGGAGCTCTGTTATTAAACACAAGAAGAATGTTAAGGATGTCCATACATACCTTTTGAAGGGTTACAGCCACTTAAGGATGATGTAGTATAAAAAATCAGATTAACAGAGTGAATGATTGAGGTCTAAAATCAGTGCCTACAAAGAAATTTGCTCATTTCTGAAATCAAGATCACATTTATTTTGTCAGGCACAGTGAAATCAGCAAGATTCATTGTATGGGGTGAGTTGGGTTTTGGCTTTAATTGGTGTTTGTTTGGGTTTTCCTTTGTTGTTTTGATGAGGTTTTTTAAATGAAGCAACTTAGATGCTGTATGTAACACAAAAAGCTTGCAATGTTCTACAAAACCCAAAGTTTTCTAGCGGAGAGGTACAAAAAAGTGTATTTTATTACATGTAGTTTAAATTTAGACAATAATTAAGAGCACAACCCCGCCCTGCTTTCCCTTCCCCCTCCAAGGGAACCAACATCATCTGAAGTCACTGCAGAGTGGAATTATTTCCATTAAGCATTATAAATATTGCTTGAACAGATTACACAAAGTACACATTACAACTTATATTAAAATATACCCAAATATAGAGATTTACTTCAAATTAGTTTTCCTAATAGCTCCTTTCTTCAAAGTCACTTGCTTAGGCCTTTAATTTTTGCACACTTGAAGCACTGGATACACTTGGTTAATTACACACAGCAAATGGCCAATTCATTCACAATCATGCAAATGCAGGAAGAGATAACCATGCCATTTGCTTCTCTATAATCCCAGAGAGTTAATGATTTAAGTGACATCATTCAGTGGCTCAGGTCAGACTATTTTCCAACCCCAAACAGTAAACTGGAAATATGAGCAGGCGGTGCTACAACATATTTCCTAGGCTGGAAAGGCAAGTCCAGAACACCAGCCAGAAGCCTTTGCACACTGCAGCATTTTGTCTCTGACTGAAACCTCGAGCTGGTTCCACCATCTGGGTTTGCTAAACACAAGTGAGTATTTTGCTTGACATTTTTACAACAGTTCACTCTTGAGCACTGAAAACGTTTGCTTTCGGTCCTGTGGTGGAAGAGACTACGTAACACTTGCCTGGACCCACACAGTTACATTGTAGCTGGAAAAAGAACCCTCCAAACACCTTGACTTACGGCCTCCTTTTTTCAGTTCTTAAAGGCTCCACATTTACTGGCTTTAGCAATGAATTCCTTTAGCAGGGGACCATCCATTTGCCAAAATGCTGTAGTTTGTGTCACTTCCGTCAAATGATTGACACAAAACTTAAAGCAGAATTCCTCTAAGTCCTAAAGAGGAAGGAAAAAAAAAAAAAGAAAAATTTTATCAGCTTTGCTTTCAATCACAGAAAATGTCCTTGAGGCTGAAATGCCTGTTTATGTTTTATTTTTGCAGCGAATTAGACAAACACACACAGTGGTTCTCAGTGTTTCCCCCTCAACAGTCACTATGTAAATGCAAGAGAAAATAATTATTTACCCCTGTATGTCACTATGTAAATGCAGTTACAGGGGGAAGTAACCAAAATTTGTTTCTCACTATATAGCAGCAATCACAAAAAACAGCTGTTCTGAGCAATATATATTTTAAGTTCTCACACTTGAAGAGTTTCATTGCATTCTCTAACAACTTTGAAACTCCAATATAAATAGGAGATCTTGGGGTAATGATGTATAAGCAAGACACTGGAAAAAGAAAATTCAGCTCTTTCATTTCACAGTATAAACAAATCTATTTGTAAGGTTGCTTGACTTCCTTCCTGCTTGTTGAAGGGCTTAGCTAGAGCCTTGAAGTTCCATGTCCCCAGCTCTACACATGTATCCTTACTGGATAGCTCATACAGCAAAGATTAGGCAGAAGGTCTTTCTGTGCATTAGAAACAGACTCATGCTACAAAGTACTTCACAGGTCTCCCAAATGTGATTCTAATGCAGTACTGGAGCACAGTGCAGCACAGCAATTTTTGCAGAAATATTGGGCTCCAGATATTTGAGCTTACTTGGAAGCGCCTTCCATGTAATAATCAGAGAAGCCTCACAACCATCATTGCACCCAGGTGATGTCAGACAGAGAGGATGCCTTAAAGAGCACAAGGCACAGTCCTGGTCAGCGCAAGGTTCCCCACAGAACACTTCCCACTCAGATTATTTCCAAGTCCTCCTTTGAGGACAAAATCTACTCTGTGGTGCAGATCTAAGCTGCTTTAAGGAGGATGCCGCAGTCCTGACAAAAGGGCAACTCCCCACACTATTCTCATTTTATTAGATGTTTGTAGGACTCTACATGAAAACACATCCTTCCTTGGCTGCTCAGCAGACTGGGCCCTGCAGGCAGGCACAACAAATTTGCAGAGCTCTCTAAGCCCCATAAGGTATGAAAGACTGAATAATATTCATGTTTTCTCTTAAGGTCAACACTGAAACTAGAGCAACTGTATGTGCCAGTGACAGTTCTTGACAACAACAATATAAAAATATATCCTGGCCTAAAACCAGGCATTCTGAAGCTTCAGATCTTGACTTGTGTGGCATCTGTGCAATAAAAAAAGACAAGCTTATTAGAACTGAACACTGACGGTTGTTTGTTTTAAATAACAGCATTAACTAGCATTTTAAAGAAAATTACATCATACACGTTACAATATTTTGCACTGCTTTATTAAAAAATTCATATTCCAAGTCAATGCAACAGAAGCATACAATAAACGCAATTCTTGTAGTATTAGTAAGTAACTCTGGAAAACCTAAAGTTCTGCATATAAACAAAGGCTGAGTTTCATTTGCAGATGGATGAGCTCCCAGCAAACTACTCAATATAGACTTAGGTGAGTAAAGGCACAAGGTACAGCCAAGGATTATTTTAAAAGCTACAATGAGAAGCTAGCCCTGACCTAATTTTTGCCACTTCAGTCAGTCAGCAAAAGAAACTGCAGGAGTTTCATGTCATGGAGGTATTTTAAATTAGTGAAGCAGCTTGTTTTAAGTGTTGTCTTCCAGGCACACACCCCCTGAATGAACTACATCAGCCAAGCAATTCCAAGCCCCCTGCCAGCATTGCAGCATGTAAACCCTTAAAGCCCAACCCCTCGACATCACCCATTCTCTCCTGGAAGCAGCACTGAAGCCTATGGTTCTAACTTCACTTAGCTAGAGAGGTATGGGTGAGGCAGAACAATGGGATTTCTTACAGTCCTTAAAAGCACAATCAATCACACACCAAAGACCCATCCTGCAAACTATCTTTGGAGGCTAAAATGTGGGACTCTTCCTATTTTTGATCAACTTCTATCAAAGACATCACTATTCACAGTAGATCAGAAGCCAGTACAGACACTAACACAGCCTTTCAGTAAGATCTATCAAACAAGCAACACATTTCAAGGCTCTGAAATAAGTTAGGGCAACCTGCTTGCCAGCTGCTGGAAATTAAGGACAAGAAAAAGCAATACCTTGATTTACTGAGTACCAGAAAACTGCTTCATAAGCATAAGTAGCAAGTTCAAAACCAACCTATTGCGAAGTTGCCAACACAATGCACAGATACTACTGAACACGAGCAGCCAAAGCAAGCCCAGGAATACTTCCTGATTAGTTCCTAAAGCAGCATGTTAGGGATCTAGTAGTGGAGTCAGACATTCTACAGTGAGGAGGCTTCACTCCCCTTCTCACACACTGTTGCTCTGTCTTCAATGTTTATAAGGCCCATGAAACAGTTCTTATCCTGACACTTCATTAGCATACTCTGAGAACTGGAAGTCTATTTGTACCTAACAAAACCAAAAAACCAAAAAAAATCTCCACCCCACCAACCAAAAAAAAAAAAATCCCAAATGCACTCAATCCCCAACCTACCACCATGTCGTCACACACAACACACAGTCTTTACAATTAAGCAACTTAAGGCTTAAAAGCCTACTTTTCATTATGTTACTTCTTTTACTTTCTATTTAAACCCCCCCTCATTTCAGAGTTAGTATTTCCATCCTCAGAAATATCTGTGTACTAGCTCACTTTCCCAGTACTGGTTAATGGGGAAAACCAAAAATTTAAAAAATGAGATAAAAAAACCTGTATTTGCCATGAGATGCAAGTCCAAAATTCTCAAATTCTGAAAATGGCAAATAGTATTAAATGAAAGTAAGAGAGAGTTTATAGGAAAACGTAACCAGCTGCTTTTCTCCGTAGGTTAAATCAGGAAGCAGCCACCCATTTAAGAGATTGAGCTTTAGAAGTTTACCTCTGCATCATATCTGACAGCAGCAGAGAGCAATGAAAATGCATTTTCCACAGTAATTCCTCTCTTGATAATGTGCTGACACAGTTTTTTCAGTCTGTTCTCACAGTATGAAGTAGCCAAATCCAAAAGTCCTGCAATGATAACACCATTGTATCAGTCAGTTGTAACAGGATCTATGTTCTTCCAGTAACAGTTTATGCTCCTGCAAAACTCTGTATCTCTATAATGTGCTTTTTCCAAGTAGGTTACTATGCAGAAAATGCAAATTACAGGCAAAGAAAGGCTTTTTATTACCTCATTCTTTACTCCTGCTAATCTCTGTAAATATGAAAGCT